CGATGGGCAGCGCCATGGAGCCCCCCGGGGGCGGGTACCTGCACCTGGGCGCGCTGACCTCCCCGGTGGGCACGGCCCGCGTGCTGCAGCTGGCCTTCGGCTGCAGCACCCTCAGCCTGGTGGCCCACCGCGGCGGCTTCCCGGGCGCGCAGGGCGCCTTCTGCATGGCCGCCTGGGGCTTCTGCTTCGCCCTCTCGGGCCTGGTGCTCGGCTGCGAGGTGACCCGGCTGCACTGCTGCCTGCGCCTCTCCTGGGGCAACTTCACGGCCGCCTTCGCCATGCTGGCCGCGCTGCTGTCGGCCACGGCCGCCGTCCTCTACCCGCTGCACTTCGCCCGCCTGCAGTGCCCGCCCGCGCCCGCGGGCTGCGCCGCCCGGGACTTCCGGCTGGCCGCCAGCGTCTTCGCCGGGCTGCTGTTCCTGGCCTACGCGGCCGAGGTGGCCCTGACCCGCGCCCGGCCCGGCCAGGTGGCCAGCTACATGGCCACGGTGTCCGGGCTCCTCAAGATCGTCCAGGCCTTCGTGGCCTGCATCGTCTTCGGGGCGCTGGCCCAGGACGCCGCCGGCTACCGGCGCCACGCGGCCACCCAGTGGTGCGTGGCCGTCTACGGCCTGTGCTTCCTGGCCACGGCGGCCGTGGTGGCGCTGAGCGTGCTGGGCCACGCGAGCGGCCCCTTCGAGCACGCCGTGGCCGTCCACACCTTCCTGGCCGTGCTGCTCTACCTCAGCGCTGCCGTCGTCTGGCCCGTCTTCTGCTTCGACCCCAAGTACGGCGAACCCTGGCGGCCCCCGGACTGCGCCCGCGGCCGCTGCGCCTGGGACAGCCGGCTGGTGGTGGCCATCTTCACCTACGTCAACCTGCTGCTCTACGTGGCCGACCTGGCCTACTCCCAGCGGATTCGCTTCGTGCCCGCCCCGTAGCGGGCCGCCGCCGCCCCTGCTCCCGGACGGACGCTGGGCACCGCGAGGGCGCGGCCGGCCGGGGAGGAGGACTCCGGGCAGCAGAGCCAGCTTGGAGGGGGACTGAGCAGGACCCCAGGTGCAGGGCCTGAGCAAGATCCCAGAGGGACTGTCACCAGGCAGTCCCAGCCCAGCCCTCCCTGTCTCCCTCTCTGTCTCCCTGTCTCTATTCTTTCCCTGTCTCTGCCTCTCCCTGTCTCTGTCCCTCCCTGGCCCTGTCTGTGGGGTGCTTCCCAGCATTAGGAAGGCTCAGGGATCTGGAGAAGGGCTGCATGTTAATGAATGAAAGGACTAGACGTAAAATAAAAGTTCGGGAGGCTTTTTGGGAGCCAGAGGAGACCTAGCTTCAATAAGTTTCCTAATCTCTGGACACAAATTGCCCTAAAGCAGTGGTTGGCAAACTGTGGCTCGAGAGCCACATGCGGCTCTCTGGCCCCTTGAGTGTGGCTCTTCCACAAAATACGGCAGCCTGGGCGAGTCTGTGTTGAAGAAGTGGCGTTAGAAAAAGTTTAAGTTTAAAAAATGTGGCTCTCCAAAGAAACATCAATCTGTACTGCTGATATTTGGCTCTGTGGACTCGCGAGTTTGCTGACTACTGCCCTGAGGCAAAGCAGACAAACACCAAAGGCGCGGTGTGGTGTGGTGCGCGGTGCGGTGCGCGGTGTGGTGCGCGGTGTGGTGCGCGGTGCACGGTTTGGTGTGCAGTAGGCATTATCAGGTAGGGGGAGCTGCCTCCGGCTGTTGCAGGTGATCACATGCTGGTTTTCAGGTTTGGGGAAATGCTTTCGGCTATTCCGGCTGAATAGGAAGCCCCTGGACCTTCCGAGGACCTTTTGCATTTTATTATAACTTACAGGAATTCGCCTCCAGCTCCATCTCTCCCCGTCTCTGCCTCTCTCCCTGTCTTTCTCTGTCTCTGTCTCTCCCTCTCTTTGTCTCTTTCTCTCCCTGTCTCTCTGTCTATCTCTCTTCCTCTCTCTCTCTCTCTGTCTCTCCAGGGCCTGGCCTCTGGCTCCCTGATGGCCCCCGTCACTCAGGAGACGTGGGGAGGCAGGTGCTGCTGTGACACCCTCTGCGCAGGGGTTCCCGGGAGAGTCAGCAGCCCGCACTCGGGCTGAACTCAGTGAAGCTGAAAGAGACAGTTCCAGGGTGTGGGAGGGGCTGGAGAGGGGGGTGTGGAGCAGGACGGTGGCGTGGCCGTCAGGGGCAGCTCAGAGCAGGGAGCCAGGCCCGAGGGGGCCCTGCAGCTCCTGGGGAAGGAGCCGGAACCATGACCCAGCTCACCGGCCTCACCGGCCACGGAGAGGGGGACGGAGCCAGGACGGTGGTGTGGCCGGGCCCGCGGCTGGAGGGGAACAGGCGCCTGCGGGACCCGCAGCAGCAGCAGCAGCAGCAGCAGCAGCGCCATCTGAGCCGCGGAGAAGCTGTTCCCAGCAGGTGCCCGCCCCCGGCCCCAGGCCGGGCTGTGGCCCCGGGAGGCTGGCAGGCAGCCGCGCAGACACCGAGCCGGCCCGGAGCCTCCCTGGTGCTCCCAGCCCGCAACCTCCGTCTGCTCCAGTGCCCGTCCGCCTGGCCGCTGGCCACAGGGCCCCTGGGGCCCCGCCCGCCAGCTTCCTCCACGGAGAGCCCGGCCGGCCCGGGGCCTGGGCAGGAAATAAAGGCCGTGCTCACTCACACCCGGCTCTGGCCAGTGGTCTCTGACCTCCTGGGCCCCCTCGCCCCCATCCTCAGCGGAGACGAGCCTGACCCTGCCTGGCAGGGAGGAGGTGGCCGTGGGGCCAGGGAGGGGTGAGAGCCAGCGTGGAGGGATGGAATGACACGAACCCCCCGGCCCCCTCCCCCCGCACTCAGCACCGCCCTGACCCACACCCAGCAGGGGTGCAGGGCCCTGGTGGGGGACAGAGGGGTGCTGCCCACTGTGGGTGGCAGGACCCAAGCGCCGTGGGCACCGGGCACCCAGCAGACTGGGAGTCCATGGGCCCGCCCGAGGGGAGGGCACTTCGAGGGGTCCTTACCCAGAGGGCAGTGGGGCTGGCTGAACCGCAGATCCCCAAAGAGGGGAGCAGCCGTGTCCTGGGGTGTCCTGAGGGCCACTGGGGGGGGCTGGGGTTGGGGGGACAGTCCCAGGTGACAGGAGCCTGTGGGCCACACCCCTCCCAGCTCACAGGGAGGCCTGGGCCGCAGTGGTCCTTCCTCTTCCGGCCAAGCTTCTGGAACGTTCTCTGTCACCGACTTCCCAGTTCCCGCTCACACCAATTGTCGCAGGCCCGAGGGGAGACAGAGGGGGTGCCGGCCGGAGAGCAGCGGGTGCTCCTGCCGAGCCTGCCCCCGGGGCCGGCCGGAGGGCTGGGCTCCAGGCCGTCACTGGCTGTGGTTGCGGGAAAGCAGCGCTGTCTGCCAGCCGGGTGGCCCGGGGGGAGCGCGGACCGAGGAAGCAGGAAGGCCTGGCTGGATTCCGGTCAGGGACAGGCCCGGGTGCAGGGGGTTCTCTCATCGAGGTTCCCATCTCTCCCTCTTCCTCTCTCTAAAAACCAGCGAGAACATTTTCTTAAAGGAAAGAAAAACGGTACTTTCTGAAGAAGAGGGTTCTGTTCCCTGTGACTGTGGTCAGGAGGGACTCACCCGGCAGCCCCTTCCTGGGAGAGGGTACGGGGCCCCCGACAGCCACCCCTGGGGGATCGCCACACGGTGCCTGGTCACGGCGTCAAAGCCCCGGCCTGCCTCTGCCCGGGCTCGGCGAGTTCTGAGACCAGGTTTCAGGACAACTTGTCATTTCACCCCCAGAACCGGCCAAGCAGGGCAGTCCCCCTCATCCCCCCCGCATCCTGTGGGTGCCGAGCGGTCCACAGGATCATTTCCTACCTCCCCTGAACCCTGCTGCTGCCTGGGACCCCGACGTGCCCAAACCCCACGCGACTCAGACCAGCTCCCATGAGCCCCGAGCGTGTCCTGGTGGGGCTGCGGCCATGTGCGCCCTGAGGCCGGGGCCCAGGGCTTCCCTGGACCCTGCAGACAGTCAGGAGAGACGGGGTCCATGGAGCTGGGGGTCCAGAATCACCTCCCTGTTTACCACCTGCCAGAGCAGCCTGTTGGGCAGGCGGACATGGCAGCAGGCCTAGGACCTGAGCTCATGCAGCTTCCCAAGGGGGCCTGGCCGCGAGGGCGGGGGGAAGGAGCAGGGCCCTGGGCCGGAGCCTCTCACAGAGCCCGCTCTGCTCTGGGCCCGGGGTGATGGGCACAGGTGCAGCGGTGGAGAGGGGGTGCTGGGCGGGAACGGGGTGCTGGGGCACCAGACAGGACCTAGACTTCCCGGGCGCCTGAGCCTCCGTGCTGAGGCCTGCCCCCCATCCCACTTCCCAGCCTCCTCGTACCAATTAAAAATCCTGACAAACAGGAAACAAAATCACACACAGAACTTTAAGCGACAAGAAAGTTTCAAACCGGTGACACATGTTAGATGTTTCCATTTGGCAAATCGCTCTCACACCGTCACCTCCACCAGGAACACAGGAGAGTGTGCCAGCTGGGCCCCTCCACACGCCGTGACGTGTGAGTAACGGGTGTGGGGTCCCCCCCGGCGCCCCCACAGGTCCAGGTCCGAGGGGGGAGCCCCTGTCCAGCCCGCTCCCTGCAGACCCCCTCCCGCCGCCCCCTCCCGCCGCGCTCAGGCCCCCCGCGTGGTCCTGAGGCCCGGGTTGGGGGGCCGGGGCCAGGTCAGGGGGTCCTCGGGGAGGCCGTTCCCCGGGGCGCGGGGCGGGGCGGGGTTTCCAGGGCGCGGGGCTCTCGTAGGCGCGGTCCGGAGGGGCCGGGGCCGGGGCCGGGGCCGGGGCCGGGGGCCGGGGCCGGGGCCGGGGCCGGGGCCGGGGGCCGGACCCCCGGGTGGGGGCGGCGGGAGCCCGGGCTGGGCCGGCGGGGCGGGGGTCGCGGCGAGTGGATGATGCAACCCCCCCCCCCCGCCACCGCGCCCCCTGATTGGCCGGCGCCCGAGCGGCCGCGCTGCGGATTGGCCGGAGCGGCGGGGGCGGGGCCTCGGGGCGGGGCCGGGGCGGGGATGCCGCGTGGCCGGCTGCTCCGCGGGCGGGGGGCCACCTGCGCCGGAGGACCGGGTACGGGCGCCGCGGGCCGGGCTCTGCGCGGGGTGCCGCGGGGGGTGCCGCGGGGGGTGCCGCCCGGGTGCCGCGGGGGGTGCTCTGGGGGGTGCTGCGGGGGGTGCCGCCCGGGTGCCGCGGGGGGTGCTCTGGGGGGTGCCGCGGGGGAGCCGCCGGGGTCTGCGGGGGGTGCTGCGGGGGGTCCTGCGCGGGGTGCCGCGGGGGGTGCTGCGGGGGGTCCTGCGCGGGGTGCCGCGGGGGGTGCCGCAGGGGGTGCCGCCGGGGTGCCGCGGGGGTTTGGCGTCCCCGGCCCCGGGTGGGGGACCGGGGGGGGGGGGCGGGAGGGTCGCCCCTGGGGGCTGCAGGCGCCCTCGCTCCCCGATCCCTTCGCGGCCGCGCTCCTCCTGCGCCCCGTGCGCGGGACGTTGGGGAGCCAAGTCGAGGCCCCGCTGTGGGGGGAGTTGGGGTCCGGGGCCCCGCTGTCGGGGTCTGGGTCCCGCTGTCGGGGGAGTCGGAGCAGTTCCCGGGTTCGGGGCTGTGGGGCAGCCCAGGGGGAAGTCAGGCCGGTTTGGGGAGGGGCGGCGCCGGCAGGCGGTGGGGTGGCCGGGCCTGGCACTGCCCCCCGGACTCCCCGCACCTGCCCGCTCCCGCAGGGGCTCCCGCAGCGCCAGCTCCGAGGCCGGGGGCGGAGCGGACACCATGAGCGTGGGCTTCATCGGGGCCGGCCAGCTGGCCCTCGCCTTGGCCAAGGGCTTCACCGCGGCAGGTAGTCCTGTGGCCAGAGGTGGGCCCTCTGCAGTCTGGGGGAGGAGGTGCCTCTGGGAAACGCAGCCCCAGGATGTTGGGGGGCGGGGGCTCTCACCCTGGGTGCTGGGAGTCCTGCCCGCCCTCCTGGGAACTGGCCTTGAGGGAGGAACTGTCCCTGCAGGCGTCCTGGCCGCCCACAAGATCATGGCCAGCTCCCCAGACATGGACCTGGCCACGGTGTCTGCCCTCAGGGTAAGCGCGGGGGCTGGGCCGGTCAGTGGTCAGTGTCTCTGTCCCTGGGGGGCAGGGCAGTGGCCCCAGGGGGTGTGGAGCCCGAGGAGTGGCCCTGGGCCAGAGCATCACAGACCCCGTCTGCTCTGGGGCTGGGTGGTGGGCGCCTGTGCAGCAGGTGGGGAGGGGGTGCTGGTCGGAAACGGGGTGCTGGGGCCAGACCGGTGTGCGGCCGGGCCAGACACTCCCGGGGCTGGTAGAGTGTTGGTCTCCGTAGCCGAGTTAGAGATCCGGGCCAAAGCGTGGGGCACGGGCCCAGCTTGGGGCCACCACTCACCCCACAGAGCAGAGGGCAGGGGGCTGGGCTGCAGCCCAGGGTGGGGTGGGCCGAGGCTGGGACAGACAGGAGGGAGAGGGAGAGGGAGAGAGAGAAACATCCATGATGAGAAAGAAACATTGATCGGCTGCCTCCTGTACGCCCCTCACTGGGGATGGAGCCCACAACCTGGGCCTGTGCCCTGACCGGGAATCGAACCCTGGTTCATAGGTCGATGCTCAGCCCCTGAGCCACGCCGGCCGGGCGCTTCCTCTACTTTTGGGTGGGAGGGGCAGTTGGGGTGTCAGAGCCCCCCGTTCCCTGAGCCCCGGCCATGCCCTCACCCAGCAGCCTCTGGGCTGGTGCACGTGATGGCTTTCGGGTGAGAGAGAGGCCGGGGGCCAGGCCAGCCCCGGGGGCGGACTGAGCCCGCCTCGGCGTCCCCCACAGAAACTGGGGGTGAGCCTGACGCCCCACAACACGGAGACGGTGCGGCACAGCGACGTGCTCTTCCTGGCGGTGAAGCCGCACATCATCCCCTTCATCCTGGACGAGCTGGGCCCCCACATGCAGAGCCGGCACCTCGTGGTGTCCTGCGCGGCCGGCGTCGCCATCAGCAGCATCGAGAAGGTGGGCGGGCGTGCGGGGAGAGCGGTGTGTGTGTGTGTGTGCGCGCGCGCGCGCGCGCGCGGCCAGGCCTCCGGGTCCCAGCCGGGAAACGGGCGTGTGGGCCCCGTGAGGACCGGGACACGCTCAGGGTGAGCCTGTGCGCACCTTCCCCCAGCACCCCGCTGGGCCCGGCCGGGAGGGACACCCGCTGTTCCTCCCGCAGAAGCTGCGGGCCTTCCAGCCGGCCCCCAAGGTGATCCGCTGCATGACCAACACGCCCGTGGTGGTGCGGGAGGGCGCCACGGTGTACGCCACGGGCACCCACGCCCACGGGGAGGACGGCCGGCTCCTGGAGCGGCTGCTGGGCAGCGTGGGCTTCTGCGCCGAGGTGGAGGAGGACCTGATCGACGCCGTCACCGGGCTCAGCGGCAGCGGGCCCGCCTACGTGAGCACCATGGGGCGGGGGCCGGGAGGGCCTCCAGCCCTTCACCAGTCCTTCCCCTCCTCCTCCCGGCTCCCCCGCTTCGGGCAGAGCCGCGGGGCCAGCCTCGCCCGGAGCAGAGGTCGGCGGGACCCTGGCTCAGCCGCCTTCTCCCCGCAGGCATTCACGGCCCTGGACGCCCTGGCCGACGGGGGCGTGAAGATGGGGCTTCCCCGGCGCCTGGCCGTCCGCCTCGGGGCCCAGGCCCTGCTGGTCAGTGTGCTCCCCGGCCCCCGGCGGGGCCCCCCGGGGGGGTGAGGCAGTGCCCTGGGTGGGGGGCAGGGGGTCACGTGCCTCGGTGGCGGGCGCCCCCAGCCGCCGACTCCCTCTCTCTCGTGTCCCGCGCAGGGTGCTGCCAAGATGCTGCTGGACGCGGAGCAGCACCCGGGGCAGCTCAAGGACAACGTCTGCTCCCCGGGCGGCGCCACCATCCACGCCCTGCACGTGCTGGAGCGCGGGGGCTTCCGCTCGCTGCTCATCCAGGCCGTGGAGGCCTCCTGCATCCGCACCCGGTGGGCACCCTCCCCCTGCCCCTCCCCTCCCCTTCCCTCCCGTCCCCCTCCCCCTGCCCCTCCCTCCCCTTCCCTCCCGTCCCCCTCCCCTCCCCTTCCCTCCCCTTCCCTCCCGTCCCCCCTCCCCCTCCCCTTCCCTCCCGTCCCCCTCCCCCTCCCCTTCCCTCCCCTTCCCTCCCGTCCCCCCTCCCCTTCCCTCCTGTCCCCTTCTCCCTCCCCTTCCCTCCCCTTCCCTCCCGTCCCCCCTCCCCCTTCCCCTTCCCTCCCGTCCCCCTCCCCCTGCCCCTCCCCTCCCCTTCCCTCCCGTCCCCCTCCCCCTGCCCCTCCCCTCCCCTTCCCTCCCATCCCCCTCCCCCTCCCTCCCCTTCCCTCCCCTCCCTTTCCCTCCCATCCCCCTCCCCCTCCCCTTCCCTCCCTTCCCTCCCGTCCCCCTCCACCTCCCCCTCCCTCCCCTTCCCTCCTGTCCCCCCTCCCCCCCCCCCCCCTTCCCTCCCGTCCCCCTCCCCCTCCCCCTCCCCTCCCCTTCCCTCCCGTCCCCCTCCCCCTGCCCCTCCCCTCCCCTTCCCTCCCGTCCCCCCTCCCCCTCCCTCCCCTTCCCTCCCGTCCCCCTCCCCCTGCCCCTCCCCTCCCCTTCCCTCCCGTCCCCCTCCCCCTCCCCCTCCCTCCCCTTCCCTCCCGTCCCCCTCCCCCTCCCCTTCCCTCCCCTTCCCTCCCGTCCCCCCTCCCCCTCCCCTCCCCTCCCCTCCCGTCCCCCTCCCCTTCCCTCCCTTCCCTCCCGTCCCCCCTCCCCCTCCCCTTCCCTCCCGTCCCCCTCCCCCTCCCCCTCCCTCCCCTTCCCTCCCTTCCCCTTCCCTCCCGTCCCCTCCCCCTCCCCTTCCCTCCCCTTCCCTCCGGTCCCCCTCCCCCTCCGTCCCCCTCCCCCTCCCCTTCCCTCCGGTCCCCCTCCCCCTCCGTCCCCCTCCCCCTCCCCTCCCCTCCCCTCCCCCTCCCCCTCCCCCCTCCCCTTCCCTCTCGTCCCCCCTCCCCCTCCCCTTCCCTCCTGCCCCCCCTCCCCTCTCCCCTCCAGCCTGCACGCCCGGCCCTCCCCTCTGCTCCGGCCCGCGGCCTGCGAATCGGGAAGCGAGGGCTCCTGGCCGCAGGTGCAGGCTCAGCCCTCACTCCGCAGACACGCGTGGAGCCCTGGCCGGGCGGTGGGTGGTGGGCGGTGGACGGTGGGCGGTGGGCGGGGCCGGGCCGGTTCCGTTTGCAGGGCCCTCCCCGGGGTCCTGCCGGAGCCCCTGTGGGCCTGGAGATAACCCTCCTCCGGGCCTGGCCGGGGAGATTAGCAGGTTAGACGGGCGGCTCCTGGCGCAGGCCCCGGCTTGACGGAGGCCGTGACCGCTGAACGGAAGCCAGCGTTGGGGGTGCAGGCTGGGCGTCCCTGTCCCGGCTGCGGGCCTTGCTCCCTCCCCCTCGCGGACGCCTGGGCTGGAGGAGGTGGATCCTGATCCTCAACCCCCGTCGCCCCCCCCAGGGAGCTGCAGTCCATGGCCGACCAGGAGAAGGTCTCGCCCGCTGCCATTAAGAAGACCGTCCTGGACAAGGTGAAGCTGGACCCCCCTCCGGAGGCCGCGCCGGCCCCTTCGGGCCACTCCACGCTGCTCCCCCGCAGCCTGGCCCCCGGGGGCAAGGAGGACTGAGGGCCCCCCTCTCCTGCGCCGGGCGGCCGCTCCAGGCCCCGGCCACACGGGGAGTCCTGTCTGCGTGGCTGGAGCGGGGTCGTAGCCAGGGAGGGGTCCCTCACTTCCCAGGGGGCTCACCTCCGGGGTCAGCTGTCCTGGGGCGTGCCCCTCCTAAGCACAGAGGCCCAGGTTCCCTGCCCTGCAGGCCCAGCCCAGGAGGGAGCCCCGTCCCACGCCTGCCAGTTCCACAGCCTCCAGGCGCAGGGACACCCCTCAGTGTCCGAGGGGACCCAAGGGTCCCGGCGTCCTGGCCTCAGGGGAGGGACCTGGGTGCTTGGCCAGCGGCCAGCTGCCCCTTGCTCCCGCTGGGCATCTGAGAAAAGGGCTCCTCGGGCAGGTGGACATCCAAGGTCCCTACAGCGCTCAGGCCTCTGCCTCCCACTCCTGACCTAGGTTCAATAAGCTGGTTTCACCCTAGCTGGTGTGGGCAGAGGGTCCCAGGATTGGAGGGTCCCAGGTTTGATTCTGGTCAAGGGCACATACTTGGATAGGGGGCTTGACCCCTAGTAGGGGGCATGCAGGAGGCAGCTGATCGGTGATTCTCTCTCACCATTGATGTTTCTATCTCTTTCCCTCTCCATTCCTCTCTGAAATCAATAAAAATATCAAACAAACAAACCAAAAAACCTGGTTTCCATATCCAACTTCTAACGTTGTCACCACGTGTGGAGGGAGGCCCCAGCTGCCCAGAGCATCGCTGCGATCAGGTGTAATGTGAGAGGCTGCGCAAGGAGCGCACGGCTTCCAGGTGGCCGGGCTGGGGGTGGGAGGTGAGTCTCAGGGAGCAGGGACGGGCGGGGCCCCTCAGGCCGCATCACCAGGAGTGTGATGGGGGCCGTCCCGTTGGCGGGCGGGCCCAGCCTCTGCACCCTCCATCCCGATGTAACGGGGGCACGTGTCTCCCCGGTTTACCCCGGCCGAGGCAGGTGGGGTGGCGGCCCTAAGGGAGCCAGCGGCATTAGGGTTCTCCAGAAGAGCAGGAAAAGAGGATGTTAGAACACAGAGGTTACAGAGAGAGAGGGTATAGAGGAAGTGGCTACCAAGGCTGCCCTGCAGGGCGGCGGCAGGCTGGACACCCAGACAGCTGACACCCCGGTTCCCAGGCCCTCGGCAGGAGAGCCCAGGCTGCTGGTGTGTCCGGAGTGTCCGAAGGCAGACGGTTCTCGGGGTCGGACAGCTTCCTTGGGCCTCCTGTTGCTTGGAGGAGGCCCACCCACGTCACAGATCACAGAGGGTGATGGGTTCCAGCCTGCGACTTAGTCTCCTGCAGGAACACCCTCACAGACACAGTGTATTGGGCCAAATATTGGGGCATCCGGGTCCCAGTCACGCTCACACATAAAATTAACTCCCGGGGGAGGCCCACGCGCTGCTGAGGGTCAGAGCCTTATGGGATCAGGGGTCTCACCCTTTGTTCACAGTCAGGGAACAGTTCCAGAGAGCAGAGGAGGCCTGTGGCCCAGAGGTTGGCACACCCCCACTGAGCGCCTGTAGGTGGTGTAGGGCTGTAGGTGGTGTGGGCTGTAGGTGGTGTGGGGCTGTAGGTGGTGTGGGCTATAGGTGGTGTGGGCTGTAGGTGGTGTGGGGCTGTAGGTGGTGTGGGCTGTAGGTGGTGTGGGCTGTAGGTGGTGTGGGCGGTGTAGGGCTGTAGGTGGTGTAGGGCTGTAGGTGGTGTGGGCTGTAGGTGGCATGGGGCTGTAGGTGGTGTGGGCTGTAGGTGGCGTGGGGCTGTAGGTGGTGTGGGCTGTAGGTGGTGTGGGTGGTGTGGGCTGTAGGTGGTGTGGGGCTGTAGGTGGTGTGGGCTGTAGGTGGTGTAGGGCTGTAGGTGGTGTGGGCTGTAGGTGGCATGGGGCTGTAGGTGGTGTGGGCTGTAGGTGGCGTGGGGCTGTAGGTGGTGTGGGCTGTAGGTGGTGTGGGTGGTGTGGGCTGTAGGTGGTGTGGGGCTGTAGGTGGTGTGGGCTGTAGGTGGTGTGGGCTGTAGGTGGTGTAGGGCTGTAGGTGGTGTGGGCTGTAGGTGGTGTGGGTGGTGTGGGTGGTGTAGGGCTGTAGGTGGTGTGGGTTGTAGGTGGTGTGGGTGGTGTGGGCTGTAGGTGGTGTGGGCTGTAGGTGGTGTGGGTGGTGTGGGCTGTAGGTGGTGTGGGGCTGTAGGTGGTGTGGGCTGTAGGTGGTGTAGGGCTGTAGGTGGTGTGGGCTGTAGGTGGTGTGGGTGGTGTGGGTGGTGTAGGGCTGTAGGTGGTGTGGGGCTGTAGGTGGCGTGGGCTGTAGGTGGTGTGGGCTGTAGGTGGTGTGGGTGGTGTGGGCTGTAGGTGGCGTGGGGCTGTAGGTGGTGTGGGCTGTAGGTGGTGTGGGTGGTGTGGGCTGTAGGTGGTGTGGGTGGTGTGGGTGGTGTGGGCTGTAGGTGGTGTGGGCTGTAGGTGGTGTGGGTGGTGTGGGCTGTAGGTGGTGTGGTGCTGTAGGTGGTGTGGGGCTGTAGGTGGTGTGGGTAGTGTGGGTGGTGTAGGGCTGTAGGTGGTGTGGGCTGTAGGTGGTGTGGGTGGTGTGGGCTGTAGGTGGCGTGGGGCTGTAGGTGGTGTGGGCTGTAGGTGGTGTGGGTGGTGTGGGCTGTAGGTGGTGTGGGCTGTAGGTGGTGTGGGTGGTGTGGGCTGTGGGTGGTGTGGGCTGTAGGTAGTGTGGGTGGTGTAGGGCTGTAGGTGGTGTGGGCTGTAGGTGGTGTGGGCTGTAGGTGGTGTGGGGCTGTAGATGGTGTGGGGCTGTAGGTGGTGTGGGTAGTGTGGGTGGTGTAGGGCTGTAGGTGGTTGGGCGGTGTGGGTGGTGTAGGGCTGTAGGTGGTGTGGGCTGTAGGTGGTGTGGGGCTGTAGGTGGTGTGGGCTGTAGGTGGTGTGGGCGGTGTGGGTGGTGTAGGGCTGTAGGTGGTGTGGGCTGTAGGTGGTGTGGGCTGTAGGTGGTGTGGGTGGTGTGGGCTGTAGGTGGCGTGGGGCTGTAGGTGGTGTGGGCTGTGGGTGGTGTGGGGTTGTAGATGGTGTGGGGCTGTAGGTGGTGTGGGTGGTGTGAGCTGTAGGTGGTGTGGGCTTTAGGTGGTGTGGGCTGTAGGTGGTGTGGGCTGTAGGTGGTGTGGGCTGTAGGTGGTGTGGGTGGTGTGGGCTGTGGGTGGTGTGGGGCTGTAGGTGGTGTGGGCTGTAGGTGGTATGGGCTTTAGGTGGTGTGGGTGGTGTGGGTGGTGTGGGCTGTAGGTGGTGTGGGCTGTAGGTGGTGTGGGTGGTGTGGGCTGTGGGTGGTGTGGGCTGTAGGTGGTGTGGGCTGTAGGTGGTGTGGGCTGTAGGTGGTGTGGGCTGTAGGTGGTGTGGGTGGTGTGGGCTGTAGGTGGCGTGGGGCTGTAGGTGGTGTGGGCTGTGGGTGGTGTGGGTAGTGTGGGTGGTGTAGGGCTGTAGGTGGTGTGGGCTGTAGGTGGTGTGGGTGGTGTGGGCTGTAGGTGGCGTGGGGCTGTAGGTGGTGTGGGCTGTAGGTGGTGTGGGTGGTGTGGGCTGTAGGTGGTGTGGGCTGTAGGTGGTGTGGGTGGTGTGGGCTGTGGGTGGTGTGGGCTGTAGGTAGTGTGGGTGGTGTAGGGCTGTAGGTGGTGTGGGCTGTAGGTGGTGTGGGCTGTAGGTGGTGTGGGGCTGTAGATGGTGTGGGGCTGTAGGTGGTGTGGGTAGTGTGGGTGGTGTAGGGCTGTAGGTGGTTGGGCGGTGTGGGTGGTGTAGGGCTGTAGGTGGTGTGGGCTGTAGGTGGTGTGGGGCTGTAGGTGGTGTGGGCTGTAGGTGGTGTGGGCGGTGTGGGTGGTGTAGGGCTGTAGGTGGTGTGGGCTGTAGGTGGTGTGGGCTGTAGGTGGTGTGGGTGGTGTGGGCTGTAGGTGGCGTGGGGCTGTAGGTGGTGTGGGCTGTGGGTGGTGTGGGGTTGTAGATGGTGTGGGGCTGTAGGTGGTGTGGGTGGTGTGAGCTGTAGGTGGTGTGGGCTTTAGGTGGTGTGGGCTGTAGGTGGTGTGGGCTGTAGGTGGTGTGGGCTGTAGGTGGTGTGGGTGGTGTGGGCTGTGGGTGGTGTGGGGCTGTAGGTGGTGTGGGCTGTAGGTGGTATGGGCTTTAGGTGGTGTGGGTGGTGTGGGTGGTGTGGGCTGTAGGTGGTGTGGGCTGTAGGTGGTGTGGGTGGTGTGGGCTGTGGGTGGTGTGGGCTGTAGGTGGTGTGGGCTGTAGGTGGTGTGGGCTGTAGGTGGTGTGGGCTGTAGGTGGTGTGGGTGGTGTGGGCTGTAGGTGGCGTGGGGCTGTAGGTGGTGTGGGCTGTGGGTGGTGTGGGTAGTGTGGGTGGTGTAGGGCTGTAGGTGGTGTGGGCTGTAGGTGGTGTCAGCCGGGGATGTCCCAGGGGGAGATCAGGAGAGCTGCTGCAGGCCTGTCATCAGTCTCCCCTTCCCCGGGGCCCACTTAGCACCAGGGCCCAGCGCCGCGGGTGGGCGGAGGAGGCGCTTTGGGGACAAAGGGAGCGAGAGGAGAAACCAGAAAAACGGACGGGAAGGCACAACAAAAAGCAGGGGCACGACTGCGCCCGTCCCGTCTCCGCCGGGGTGGCCTCCAGGCCTGAGCAGGGCGGCATGCGGGGGTGCACCCCGGCCCGCCCAGCGCGCCCCCGCACAGACCCCCCAGCACAGACCCCGGCCCGGCCCAGCAGGTGGAGCGGCGGGGACACGTGGCCTTTGATTGATCAGCGCCCGGGCCGCCTGGCCCCGCCCCCAGAGCCGGGAAAGGGGCGTGGCCTCAGGAGAGCGCGCTCCCGGCTGGAACCGCGAGACCCCGCTCGGGCAGGGCGCGCGTTGCCAGGGCGACGGCGGCTGAGTGCGCAGGCCCAGTACGACCACGCCCCGCCGCCGCCGCCGCCCGCCGCCGCCGCCGCCGCCGCGCCTTCCCCTTTAAGCCCCGGCCGGTCGCGACGCTGCTTCATGAATGGAGCCCACGTGACCAAACATCATGTGACGTCTGTGGAGCGGCGGCGGCGGCGGCGGCGGCGGCGGATCCCGAGCCTGGTCCGGCCCGGCCTTCCCAGCGCGCTCGGCCCGGCCCGCGCAGGCGGCCAGCCCCATCCCGGGCGCGGAGCCCCCGCGCGGCCCTCCCCACGCAGCCTCGGAGCGCCCGCCGCCCCCGCCCCGGCCTCGGCCCGCCCGGCCCGCAGTGTGGAGGGTGAGTGCGCTGCGGCCCGGCCGGCGGGCCGGGGGCGGGGGCGGGGGCGGCCGGGGGCTCCGGGCCGGGGTGCAGCCGGCGGGACCGCGGCTCCTCCCGGCGGGCCCAGACGGCGCTGGCCGGGCGCCCCCGGCCCCGGGTCTGCCCTGCTCCCCGATGGCGCCCGTGCCTCGATTTCCCCGCCGGGCGCTGCTGGCCCTGCGCGCGGGGGGCGGGGGCCGGCGAGGGCGGCGGGCGGGGCGGCGCGGCTGGCTCCGGGGGGCCGGGGGCCCCGGAGGGAGGGCGGCCGGGGTGGCGGGAGCAAAGGGTGGGTCCAGGGGGGCGCCCGGGCCGGCGCAGCAGCGGGCCGCCTGGGTCGGGGCTGCTGATTCATCAGGTGTCTGGGCGCCTCCCCGGGCGCCGTGGCCCCTGGCGGCCGGGGAGGCGGCGCGGGGGGCGCGGGGCGACCCCGGTCGCGCCGGGCCGGCTCCTCGCGCCGCCCGAGCCCGCGGGCGGCTGCTGAGTCATCAGCATGAGGTCACCGCTCCGCCGGGGGTCCGCGCGGCCGGGCCTCGGCGGCCGGGCACGAGGCGGCGGCGCGAGGCCGTGGGAACGGGCCGGGCCGGGCCGGGCGCCGCCCTCAGCCCGGACGGAGGTTCCAGGGGCGGCGGGGGACGGGGCAGCGGACGCGAAGCCCCTGGCCTGTCCTCCCGCTGCGGGCGCTCCGCTCCGGCCCCGCCGGCCCGGCCCGGACAGTTCCCCGAACTGGGAACTAGTTCTCCGCGGAAGGGGCGGGGCCGGCGGCGGGAGCGGCTTTCCCGCCCGCCGAGGGTCTGGGCGCGGCCGTTCGCCCGGCGGGAGGCGAGGGCCGTGGGGACCTGAGAGCCGGAGAGGCCGCGGGAGGGGCCGCCCGGGGGCGGGAGGAGGGAGGGTGGGGTCCGGCGGGGAGGGAGCCCGGGGCTCCGGGCAGAGCGGGCAGAGGACACCTTGTACCGAGGCCCGCTGGCCGCGGACGGGACAGTTGGCAGCAGGTGCAGCTCTACCAGGAAATTGCAAATGAGAGGAAGCAGCGGGCCGTAGACATTGGGGACCAAGGTGTTTGGTGAGCAGGTCCTGCCCCCCTTTGCAGCTGGGCCTCTGGGGGGAGGCTGCAGGTGGAGGGCGCTTTCGGGGCTCAGCAGGGGGCTGGGGGGCAAGCAGGCAGTTCCCCATCACCCCAGCGCCGTCCCCCGGAGCTCCGGGCTCCGCGTGGTGCAGGTGAGCAGGGATGTGGCCCTGGTGGGTGGGGAGGGTTGGGGAGTGACAGCTCGAGGGCGGGGTGTCCCGGGCACCTCGCCCAGGTGTGTGGGTAGTTCCTGGCCTCCCAGGGTGCAGGGGTGTTTTGTCTGGACCAGCGCAGAGGACCCTTCTGGCCCAGGGGTTCGGGTCTGCAGAGATTTGCCCCCCACCAGCACACACACACAGGGTGGGGCAAAAGGAGGTTTACTGCTTTGAGTCCGTGAAACCTGGAGTTTATTCTTGCACTGTTTGTTAATTGCATTGTTTTCCACACGAACAACTGTAAACCTGCTTCTGCCCCACCCTGTACACACACACACACACACACACACACACACACACACGGGCCCGGGGCTTAGAGATGCCAGGTGTTTTCAAACACTTCAGCTGATCTTTTGGCTGTAATTGTATGCCCTGGGAGGGGTATTTCTTTCCTTCCTTTTGTTTGTTCATGTCTTTATTGATTTTTACTTTTAGAGAGAGAGGAAGGACGAGGGGTCTGAGAAAAACATCAGTGAGAGAGATGCATCATCCATTGGCTGCCTCCTGCATGACCGGGAATCAAATAGGCGACCTCTTGGTTCCTAGGTCACCGTTCAGCTACTGAGCCACACTGGAGGAGGACTTTTTTTTTAAGGCTTCTCAGTTACTTATGCTTCCGTGGAAGTTTTACTTTTCTCAGAGTGGCGTTTAGGGGCTGAGGGCGCGGGGAGGGAGGCAGGACTGGGCTGGGGTCCAGGCCCGCCCCGGAGGCTTGGCCCCGGGTTTGCCAGCCTGGAGGAGGAGCGGGAGCCGGCTGTCTTCTCGCCTCGTGTCCTTGGCCTGGAGTCTGGGCCGAGGGGAAGAGCTGGCTACCTGCATCTCTGCCCTTCCTGACGGACTCTGGGCCGCGGGAGGTCCCAGGTGCTGGGGCAGCTGAGGGCCACCGAGTGGACTCTGCCCTGGGGGCGTGAAGGAAGGAGGATGGCCGGAGGGTGGGGCAGCCTAGCTTCCAGAGGTGCCCTGAGCCCTCACCTGTGCCCGGCCAGGCTGTCTGCCCCGTCTGTGTGTGTGTGTGTGTGTCCGTGTGTCCCTGTGTCCTCAGGGGGGCGGGGGCCGGCCGGGAGGCCCAGCCCTGGCTTCAGAGGCCTGCCCCTCCCCCGAGCTCCCCTCACACCTTTGATGAGGAGGCTGCTGGCGGCACTAGTGCTGAGTTCAGGCCTTCTGCGGAGGTGAAATCTGTCGAGGAGGCACTTTTCCTGTGATCTCTTCAGGAAGTCACCGCTGTGCTCAGCATTGGGGCGTGGGGGCGCGGGGGCGCGGGGGCGGGACAGGCTGGTGCCAAGGCTTTTCCTTCGGGGCGGGACCCGGAGCAGCGTCCCTGCAGCCCAACTCCTGCTGCGGGAGGGCCCGGCCCCGTGGGCATGGCTCCTCGCCCCTGGCCTCCTGGTGCCGGGCTGGCTGGGGTGGGCCTGCCGTGGAGCCCACTTGTGCCTCCACCTCCCCAGCCGGCACTTCAGCTCCCCGTGAGGGTGAGAAGCCCACTCCCGCCCCCCAGGAGGCAGACGGGTCTGTTGGTCTGTCTCACCCTGCAGCCATCACCTCCCGCATCTAACCCGGAAAGCGGAGCTCAGAGGGGGGCCCGGGGGTGGGGGGGAGACAGCCAGTCTGCTGGCGGCCGGCCCAGCCAGGAGGTGCAGGACGAGGCGTGCAGAATTGCTCGTGGCTGGGCTTTGGGAAGCAGGAAGGGAGGTGGGGTGTGGGGAAGGGGTCTAGCACCTGTGTGCCCTGCCCTGTGGGTGCTGACGCCGGGCAGGAGGCTGAGAGTGGCCCCCCGGATGGCTCACCGCGGGGGCTCTTGTGAAACACCCTGGACAGGGAGGGCCGGGCACACGCTGCTGCAACCCAAACCCACAGGATGGTTACTCCATCTGCCGCGCCCGCCTGCCGCCTGAGGTGGGAGCTCCCCGAAGCTTGGACAGCCACTTAGGGCTCCAGAGTGAGCCGTCAGGATCGGGAGCCCCTCGCCCTCCCCTCTGCCCAGCCCCGTGGGGATGACCCGCTGAGCCTTCGTGGGAGCGGGGCGGCGTCCCAGGCCCACGCAGGTCTGTGCTGCAGAGGCTGGCCCCGCCCACGTGCAGGGCTCCTGGCTCCGGCCCTCGCCCTCACCTGCTGTCGGCCGCCGGCCTTTCTGGTCCCGGCAGCTCTGCTCTGGCGGCAGGCCCCCTGGGGCTGTGCTGGCTGGCGGCCTGGGGAGTGCCAGGCGGTGAGGGAGCAAGGGAAGTGCTGAGTCAGCATGACTCGCCAGGAACAGCCGCTCTGGGGTGACACGGGTTATTTTTAAAGCTCTGGGCTTCCTTCTAGGCCGGCCCCTCGACCCTCGGATCTCTCCCCGGCCCTTTCCTCGCCTCTGCCCCCCTCCCTGCCCTTCAGTCCCCCTTTCCCCTGGGCCCTCCTGGCCTCCTCTGGCTTCCTAGGGGCAGGCAGACGGGGAGCAGCCCTGCTCAGGGCCAAAGGTCGATCTTTGGGGCCAGGTACTGGGGACTGGGCAGGTGGGGGCAAGGATGGGGGTGCCCAGGGTCCTGACCCTCCGCCCCCTGTCCCGCAGAGTGCCTGCTCGCTGCGCCCCCGGGTTATGACGACCCCCAATAAAGGAAGCAAGGCCTTGAAGGTAAGCGGGCAGGCGGGCGCGTCCCGGGCTGGGGTGGCGCCGGGCCGGTGGCTCGGGGCCCTGACCGGTGCGCTGTGCCCCAGGTGAAGCGGGAGCCTGGTGAGAATGGCACCAGCCTGACGGACGAGGAGCTGGTGACCATGTCGGTGCGGGAGCTGAACCAGCACCTGCGGGGCCTGTCCAAGGAGGAGATCGTGCAGCTGAAGCAGCGGCGGCGCACGCTCAAGAACCGCGGCTACGCCGCCAGCTGCCGCGTGAAGCGGGTGACGCAGAAGGAGGAGCTGGAGAAGCAGAAGGCGGAGCTGCAGCAGGAGGTGGAGAAGCTGGCCTCGGAGAACGCCAGCATGAAGCTGGAGCTCGACGCCCTGCGCTCCAAGTACGAGGCCCTGCAGACCTTCGCCAGGACCGTGGCCCGCGGCCCCGTGGCGCCCGCCCGGGGCCCCCTGGCCGCCAGCCTGGGGCCCCTCGTCCCCGGCAAAGTGGCCGCCACCAGCGTCATCACCATAGTCAAGTCCAAGACGGACGCCCGGTCGTAGGGGCGCACGCTGGCCCCGGCGGGTCTGGGAGGGGCCGTGAGGCACGCGGCACATAAGCAGCCCTGTCCCCCTCCCCGCTCCCCGTCCTACCTCCTCCCTCCCCTGCGAAGCACAGCCCGCACCCCGGCGGGCGCCGGCCGGGCCCTCGGTCTCGTGTTGTCAGCGTGTGTCTGTGTGTTGGGATTGGTCAGTTCAGCGGTGCCGTGGGGTGGCCCCTGCCCCTTTGTACCAAGGCCAAGGGGGTGACCCGGAGGCGGCCCTTTGGGAGCAGAGAGGAGCGAGCGAGCTGTGGGACTCGGCGTCCCTGTGCAGGCAGGGCTCCAGGGCAGGAGGCTGCTCTGCCTCCAGTGGCCCGGGCCCTGACGGCTGTGGGCCGGCGGGGGGCTGGGCATTCCCTCAGATGGACTCTGCTCCTCGGAGCGGGGCGTCCTGAGGGCTCCCGGCAGGGGGCGCCGTGTAGCTGTGGGCCAGGGGCCTGGGCATGCTCGCCTGACGCCTTGCACTGACCAAGACCAAATCACTGGCCGTGAGCGTGCGTGAGGTGTGTCCCGTGCCCCGCGATGGTCCGCGTCGCTGTTTACATGGCCTGTCGGTGTGGTTACCCAGCCCTTTATTTAAGAGAGAAGTTCCTTTTACGAAGTTATTAAATTATATGTTTAAGAGCTAAAGAAAAGGAAAAAAGAGAGCTGCAGAGTATTTATAAAACTGTCTTTTTACAAAAAAAAAAAAAAAAAAAAAAAAAAAAGCAAGGACATTGGACCCTGTAAATGGGAAAGGGAAGAAAGTATAATAGGAACTTGGCTAGTTTAAAAAAAATTAAAAAAAAAAAAGCCCTTTCTTGTAAACTTACAGACAAGTCTTTGTGGCTGTTGGAGTTTAGTTTTTATATACACAGAGTTATCAGATGTTATTTATAAAACTTAGTTTAAAAAAGAAAAAAGAAAAAAAAACACACGAAGCCGCGAGCGACACAGGCGCCCCGACGTCCTCCTTGCTGACTTTGGCGATTGCACCGAAAGTGACTTATCCGCCGCGCCCCGCTTCCGGCCGCGTCCTCCGTGCCTGGTGAGGTCTTGTGCAGCGTCTGTGCTGGTGCTTCTGGTGACCTTTGACCTGTGGTGTCACTTGTGTCTGTTTTCCTGTATTTGTTTTGGATTTGGTTGTATTTTGCTCTGGCTTGCCGGGCAGGGGCTGGGGTGCGGGTGCCGGGCTGGGACCCGCTTCAGCAGTTTGGGGGGGTGTCTGCCCACCAGCCCAGCCTCTCCAGCTTCCCCGCCTGCCCCCTGGCTTCTAGGAGGTCCCAACCCTGCTGTCCTCGGCTTCGCATGTGTGTCAGGTTTGGGCAGGTGAGATGGGAGTTACTCTGGGCCCCCCGCTGCTCCCGGGCCCCCGCCTCTGGCCCTGGGTGGGGCTTTGCAGATCTCGCTGCTGCCCCCCCCCCCCCCCCCCCCGCCATCTTCCTCCTGGTGTCCAGTCAGCCGCCTCGGCTGGGGCCACTCAGGGGCTCCCTTTTCCCAGAACCGTCTGTGCTGCGGGGCGGTGCTTCCAGGCAGAACCAGGTGGTTTTGGGGGCCCACCTGGGGCGGCTCCTCCTGCCTGCGGGTCTCCACCTGTGTCAGACAAGGGCTAGTCTCCTGGGCCAGGGCCTGTCCTCTCCCCGAACACGCTGGCAGCTTTCGGCCTCGGGCCTTCTTCCGCCTGCTTTGGGGTCTGTCTTCCAGGGATCCGATGCTCGGCCGTGGAGGTGCTTCTCGGGCTGAGCCGCCTCCCCGTCCCGGCCACGCGGCCGAGGCAGCCAGTCTCCGGATTCGGCGTGAGAGCTCGTGGGCTCCCGCGGGGGCTGTCTGTGGTGTCTGCCCCCGAGGCTCGGGCCGTCTCTGTGGGCCTTGGCCTGTTCCCGGGGTGCTGGCTGGCTGCTCTGGGCCCTGGATCCCGAAAGAGCACGGTAGTGCGGCCTGATGGGGACAGGGCGTACTGGCGGCTTCTGTCCCGGCGGCTGCTCAGAGGCCGTCCTGGTCGTGCCGCTCAGCCTGCCGTGGAGATACTGACCGTTGGCTCCAGCCGCTATGGCCTCCTCTCCAGGCTGCCTGTCTGGCAGGGTCCCTGCGACAGGTGGCGGTGGCATCGCGTCGCAGCAGTCAGTCCCTAGAGAGAGGTGCTGCCCGCCCTGGGGTGGGAGGGACAGCGTCCATGTGACGGACAGCTCCCCTGTCCTGGCCGGGAGCGGGTGTCTGTGCCCCTCTGCCGGGCTGTGCCTGGAGGGGGAGGGCAGAGGTGGTGAGGAGGGTGAGAGTGGGTGGTGCTGAGCGGAAACGGCAGGTCGTGGGTCTGGTCTGCAGAAGCTTCTGGAGTTGGTGAGGCCGTGTCCCTGGCAGGGTTTTGGGTTGGAAGCAGCTGCCCCTTGGGTTTGGGGAGCATCCAGTTCTCGTCATGCCAGCCCTGCAGGGGCCCCTCCACTCTCCTCTCCCCTTGGCTTCTTCCCAGTAGTTCTGTGTCCACCTGTGACTGGTGTGTCTGATCCCTGTTCCTTATTCTTCCCCCGTGACTGTGCTGTGTTCCCTCTCTCTCCTGACACAGTGAATCGAGGGCTTTGGCCAGAGCCAAGAATCCCAATCGTGTCCACTAAGTAAACCATGCTGTGCCCCTCCCCTCCCCGACTCCGCCCGCACCCCAACATGGACGCTCAATTTCAGAGCAGAACCTGTGGGCTCGGGTCAGCTCCCGCCCAGGCCCAGCTGCTGCTCCAGCTGGCACTGCCCTTTGTACAGGTGGGAAGACACGGCTGCCCCGGGTGGCAGCTGCGAGGTGTGCTGGTTCCTGGTGGGGTCAGTGCCCAGCCCCGCGGCTCAGGCTGCTGGGGCCCCAGGACGGGTCGAGCCCATCTGGTCTCCAGCTCCGAGTTGGCTTGTTGGCCAGGGCTCCCTCCACAGCGGGGCAGCCTGAACCACAGCCTCCAGCACCATTTCCGCCCTGGGATCTTGTAAGTTACTTTTTTGGGCTGTGGTTTAGTGAAAGGAACCAACACATTAACGATTTTTTCCCCTCAGAAGCCACGGAATAATTCTTTTTGGCGCGTTTTTGCCTTCCTGTTGGCTGTCTGGTTTGGGAACAGATGGGGAGACGGGTGTGCCCGTGGGACAGGGCCTGGCCCGTGTCCTGGGCGTGTGCTGTCCCTGTCGGCCCGGACGCACGGCGGCACCGCCCTGGAGCAGCAGCCTCGGTACGGGGGTGCCCCCCGAGCTGAGCAGCCCGGCCCCCCCTCCCCGCCCCCTGCTCTGCGCGCCCCGCAAGCCTTTAACCAAACGGAGCGGGTGCAGCGCTCCTCCGGACCTTCGGGCCCCAGGACAAGGGCTGCCCGGTGGGCCCCGCTCTCCCTCGGTCCACCGCCCGCCGCGGAGGCCGCCGCCGGGAGGGGTGCAGGGGCCCCGGGGCCCGCCCGCCCCGCGCAGTATTTATTGTAAGTTATTGTCCCGGGGGCGCGGGCCGGGCGCAGGTATTTATTGCTGTACATAGTGTATGTTTGTGACATATGAGTTTTCTTTATTTTGTATATGACCAATAAACGCCTTTTAAAGAGCCGCAGGTGCTTCCTTGGGGGCTGCGGGCGGGGGGCGGGGTCGGAAGGGCGGGTCTCGCGCATGCGGTGCGCGGGGCCTGCCGGGAGGCGGAAGCGGAAGCGCGCGTCCCGGAGCGATGGCAGCCGGGGGTCCGAGCCGCTCGGAACGCAAAGCCGCGGAGCGGGTGCGGCGGCTGCGGGAGGAGCAGCAGCGGGAGCGCCTCCGCCAGGTACGCGCCCCGCGCCCCGCCCCGCGCCCTCGCCGCGCGCCCGCCCCGCGCCCTCACCGCCCGCCGCGCCCGCAGGTGTCGCGCATCCTGAGGAAGGAGGCGGCCGAGCGCAGCGCGGAGGAGGGCCGGCTGCTGGCGGAGAGCGAGGACCTGGTGACCGAGCTGCAAGGCCGGAGCCGGCGGCGCGAAGGCCTGAAGCGGCGGCAGGAGGAGGCGAGTCCCGCGGCGCCCCGCCCGCCGCCGCCGCCGGCCCGGCTCCTGGGGGATGGATGGGGCGGCGGCGGGCGGGAGGGCTGACCGCCTGCCTGGGTCCCGGCAGGTGTGCGACGACCCCGAGGAGCTGCGGAGGAAGGTGCGGGAGCTGGCGGGCGCCGTGCGCGGCGCCAAGCACCTGGTGGTCTACACGGGCGCGGGCATCAGCACGGTAGGCGCGAGGCGGACGCCGCGCACCTGGCGGGCCCCGGGCCCCGGGAAGCTCGCGCGGCTGGGACGGGCGGTCCGGGGCGCCCCCTTTTGGGCGTCTGACCCACGGACAGAGTACAGGACTCCATTCGCCAAAAATTCTCTTTACAAGCGGCGCTGAGGTCCTTTTGTCTTAGAGAAGCTCGCAGTGGCTGCGTTTGGGACTTCGCTCGTAGGTGAGCACGTTTACAGGCTTGAAGCCTGTGTTATGCCCAGTTAGAGACAAGGAAGGGACGGAAAAGCGGACGTAACAGCTTTAGCACCGGCGGGCACCTCATTTAAAGGTGAGGAGGTCAGGGCGCTGACCCAGGGGCCTGAGGGAGTGCTAAGCCCACATCTGTGTCCTGGCCCCCCACCCGCTGTCCTTCTGAGTGTCAGGGAGGTGAGTGCAAAGCAAGGCAGTGCGAATCGGGGTGCACCAGGTGAGGCCGGAGAGCGCTGGGTTTTGAAAGCTTCCCTGGGCTGGGGAATATGCGTGACTGGCTTTGACAGGGAGGGTGGCCCATGTTTGCCTGATTGAGGGGAGTTTGCGTGTGTCCTACGAGGAGGCCCAGCAGAGGGCACACCCAGGCTTTCCGCCCGGAAGGGAACGCACATGACATCGGAAGGCGCGGAGGCGAATGCCTGTCCGTGGAGCCAGCCGGGTGAGGGCCTGGCTTGGGGCAGGAGGAGGCCCGGGCCCAGCCCTGAGGATGGGTGAGGCTTTATGGGGAAGAGGCGAGCAGCACTCCCAGCAGGATGAGTGCAGGGCCCCTCCGAAGGAAGGCGTCTGCTGCATCGACCTCGACCACTCACCCGCCAGCAGGCTGGCCGCGGCCCTGCACCCCCCATGTGCAGGAGGTCATTTTGAAGCGGTCACGTGACACCCCTTCTTAAGGAGCCCCGAGCGGCTGCCCGAAGCCTCCTGCGCTTCTCCGTGTGCTCTGAGCGGGACTGTCGGGGAGCGTTCCACTCCTCCACGGAGTCAGAGCTGCCGATTGGACGTGAGCAGGAAGGAGACAGGGCTCCCCGGAAGCCAGATTGTTCAGCCTGAGGGCCCCAGGGCCCCTGGATCCTGGCGCCTGCTCTCCCTGGCTCTCCCTGGCTCCTTTCCCTGGCCTGGGGATTGGGAAATTCAGTAGGTTTTGATCTCACCTGGAGAGGCTTGCAGTCTTGGTGGAGGGAGGGCAGCAAGTACTTACCAGGCTGGGACAGGGGAGGGGTCCCACTTAGTGGTTCACCTTCCTTCTGCGCCGGCTAGCACCGGGCACAGGAGCCTGACCAGCTCCCCCTCAGGCTGGCGGACAGTGTGGCTGCAGAGCCAGGCTGGAGGACCAGGTGGCAGCGGGCCCAGCTAGGGAAGGACATGAGATCCACCGCCCCTGGGCTCCGGCGGGCAGACGAGGGTCCCCCGTGGGCTGAGTGCAGGGCCGGCCTGGGACGAGAGGGGAGAGACATTGCTTCCTGCTCCGGGGCCGTCGGTGCCTCAGTGGTGCCTGCTCACAGGCTCGTCTTCCTCCTGAACACACAGGCTGCCTCCATCCCAGACTACCGGGGTCCGAACGGGGTGTGGACACTGCTGCGGAAAGGGAGGCACGTGAGGTAAGCGCCCGCACAGCCCCCCCGGGCGGAGCGGGGCAGCGGGAGCCTGACGCCCGCCTCCCTCTCCCCCGCAGCCCCGCCGACCTGAGTGAGGCGGAGCCCACCCTCACCCACATGAGCATCGCCCGCCTGCACGAGCAGAAGCTGGTAAGCGCCCTGCGTGGCTGGCCGTGCACCTGCCGTGCCTCGGCGTGGGCCCACCAACTGGCGTGGCCTCCTGGCTGAGCTCTCAGCCTCCCGCTTCCTCTGCAAGGGAAAGGGGTGCAGACGCTGACCTCCAGGCTGCCCCAGAGCTGTTCGGGGGGCCTCCTGCATCCTGCTGGTACCAGCTGCTGCCCCTGGTTTGGGGGCTCGGCCGCCCAGCACAGGAGGGCTGCCCCGCCGGGCTGCCCCGCCTCCTCCGAGCACCGCCCTGTGCCCGCAGGTGCAGCACGTGGTGTCGCAGAACTGCGACGGTCTCCACCTGCGGAGTGGGCTGCCGCGCTCGGCCATCTCCGAGCTCCACGGCAACATGTACATCGAGGTGAGCGGCCCCTCGGGCGGGGGCGGGGGCGGGGGCTCGGGGGGACAGCGCCCCACTCACGTGCCCTCCCTCCTCAGGTCTGCACGGCCTGCACTCCCAACCGGGAGTACGTGCGGGTGTTTGACGTGACGGAGCGCACCGCCCTGCACCGGCACCAGACCGGCCGGGCCTGCCACAAGTGCGGGGCGCCGCTCCGCGACACCATCGTGCACTTTGGGGAGAGGGGCACCCTGGGGCAGCCTCTGAACTGGGAGGCGGCCACCCAGGCGGCCAGCACAGCAGACACGATCCTGTGTTTGGGCTCCAGCTTAAAGGTACACAGACGGGAGCGGGGGGTGGGGTGGGGTGGGGGTGCAGGGAGGACCTGCTGGCAGCTGGCCGGCGCGGCACAGAGCCCAGCTCCCTATAGCCCGTCCCTGGTGTGTGTGTGGTCTGTCTGTCGTCCATCCGTCCCCACAGGTTCTGAAGAAGTATCCACGCCTCTGGTGCATGACCAAGCCCCCCAGCCGGCGGCCCAAGCTCTACATTGTGAACCTGCAGGTACCTCGCTGCCCAGAGGCACGTCCTTCATCCGCGGGGCGTCCCCCGTGCGCCCTGGGGGGCTAGCCGAGAGGACCCAGGCTGCTGACCTCACTGCCTCCCCCTTCCGTCCCCAGTGGACCCCAAAGGACGACTGGGCCGCCCTGAAGCTCCACGGGAAGTGTGATGACGTCATGAAGCTCCTCATGGACGAGCTGGGCCTGGAGATCCCCTCCTACAGCAGGTGAGGGGTGCGCGGAGTCCCTGCCCTGTGTGGATGGGTGTCTGTCCTCTCGAGCCGAGCGTGGAGGAAGTCTGAGGCGTTGCCAGCTGTCTGAGGCGTGCCTGCGGTGTGGTGGCTCTGCAGGGGCCAGCCCCGGTTCCTGGCTGTGGGGACTCCTGTGGGGAGAGGGCGTAGACGGGGTGTGTCTGGATGCTCCCCCTGACCTCAGGCCCAGAGGGGAGGCCCCGTCACAGGCTGGGCGCCCTCAGGGCCCTCGGTGTGGGGAGCGTAAATACAGAGCGTGTGATGATTTAGACGTGTGTGTGTGGAGTAAAAAGTTTACACTTTCTCTCTCTGTGAATTTCCAGGGTCTTATAGGGGAAATCAGTAACTTCTTTTAATCAAAGGGTTCAAGAATTAAGGATCCCTCACCTTCTGGGCCTGGCAATTCTTGTATGTTATGTGTGTGGTGTTCTGTGATGTGGGCCTATCGTGTTCTGTACTTTTTTTTTTTTTTTACATTAACTTAGCTCATTTTCCTTATCAGTGCTTATCTGTATCTTACGTTTATAATATGTGGTTCTACATCTCAGACACATGACCTCACCCGGGAGCCCGTAGGCCACACCTCCCTAGTCAGCTGGCCTTCCCACCTGTCAGTCTGGGAAGGGGGAGAGGGTCTGGTCCCCCTGCCCCCTGGCCTCGCCGTGAGAGGAAGGGCCCAGAGCTGCCAGTGACTCATCCTTGCTGGGATGCCTGCCTCCACCTGAGCTGCCGTGCCTGCCGTAGCCAAGGACGCGCTCTGCGGAGGCTGGGGCTGCCCCTCTAGCTCAGGAACGGTGGGGCCACCTCCACCAAAGCTGCCACAGCTAGGACGGGGCGGGCGCAGGGTCCCTCAGTCAGGTTCCTGTCCCGGGGCAGGTTGTGACCAGGCGGCTTCAGGTCACACCGGACCCAGCTCTCCCTTTTCGGCAGGTGGCAGGATCCCATCTTCTCCCTGGCGACTCCCCTGCGGGCTGGCGAGGAGGGCAGCCACAGCCGGAAGTCACTGCGCCGGAGTCTGGAGGAGCCCTTGCCCGGTGACCAGGGGGCACCTCTCAGCCCGGCCCCTGTCCGGGGTGGCTGGTTTGGCAGGGGCTGCGCCAAAGGCACCAAGAGGAGGAGAGTGACATAACCTGGTGCTCCACTGGGAACAGCAACCGGCACTTTGCAGATGGCTGGACCTCGGGTCCGGGCCGCTGGCACCCAGAAGGCTGGGACTGCCCCACGGGTCCAGGGAGAGCGCTCGGGGGTGGGGGACGTGGTCACGGCGACATGCTTAGCCATTTGTCCTGGTGGGGAGCCCCGTGGCCCTGCTGTGCTTGTCCTGCCTGCCCCCCCGCACCCCCCACCGGAGGGCCTGGGTGCTGACAAGTGGCCCATCCAGTCTGACTCAGAGGTGGCCGCCACGCCTTCCTGTGAGCAGAGCTCCAGGTACCTCTCACCTGGCCAGCCAAGGGGAAGCACTTGCTGCCTTGCCGCCTCCTCCAGGCCAGTCTCAGGGGCCTCCACCCTATTTCTACTTCTTACTAAAGATGCTGACTTTATAGTAAACCTTTATCTGTATTGGTTTGCGGCCGAGGGCTGGTTTTGAACCTTAGCTCTCAGCAGACCTCTTTGTTGCTAATAAACTTCTCTGCACTGTTGTCCCAGCGTCGCTGTGAGGCGCCAGGCCCCGCGGGGCTCCTCGGCGGGGCGGGGCGGGGCGGGAGGCACTCCAGGTGGCTCTGCCCCGCGCCCTAAGCCAGGTGCGAGCCCAGGGACGGCGCGCGTGCGCCATTGGCTGCAGGCAGGGGTGGGCGTGGCCGTGTTCTGGAGGCGCAGCCCATTGGCCGCGAGCGGAAGGGCAGGGCTCGGTTAATCGGAGGCCGCTCGTGCTCGCCATTGGCCGCGTGAGACAGGTGGGGCGGGGCCCAGGGGCGGGGCGGCGCTCCCCATTGGTCGCCCGTGGCGGCTGAGTCCCGTGTGACGGCGCGTGCGCAGGGCGGGGCGGCGGCGGCCGCTCGGAGTTTGGGGTCCGTCCGTGCCGCGCCGCAGCCGGTGACATGATCCGCAACGGGCACGGGTTGGCGGGCGGCGCCGAGCCGCCGGGCCCGGGGGCCCGGGCCGCCGTGCGGGTGTGGTGTGACGGCTGGTGAGCGCGGCGGCGGGCGTTGGCGGGCGGGGCGGGGGGGCTGCGCTGTTGCCCGAGGCGCGTCTTGAGCCGCGCTCGCCCGGGGCCTCGGGCGGCCTTTACGGCGGGGAGGGCGGCCGGCGGCGGACGCGGGCTGCGGCTCCCGGATGGAGGGCGCCCGGGACCCGGGCCGCCCCCGCACGGCAGCGGGCGAGCGGGTCCGGGACGCAGGCGGGCGCTGGCCCGGCCCGGGGACCGGCTCCCGGAGAAGCGCCTCCCGGAGGAAGGGGCGCCTTCCCCGCGATCGGCAGCGGCTGCGCACCGACCCGGCCGCGGCCCAGGGGGGCCGCCGTGGCGCAGGTCGCGCGCTTCCGATCTGGTGGCTTTAGTCCGTTCAGGGCCGCCTTCCCGGGGTCTGTGCCAGGCTCCCCGACGTGCCCTGCGCAGGACCAGAGGGGTCGCCCGGGTGTCTGGGCAGCGTCAGCGCGGGAACAGTGGGACCCAAGACCCCCACCCCCACCCCCCGTGCAGCCCGTGGGTCCTCTGGGAGCCGCACAGCAGAGCAGGGTGATGTTTGGGGCTCAGTTGGTAGCCTGCCACCCACGAAGCTTCCTCAAACCTGAGCTGATGGAAGCAGAGGGGGAAACACCCCCTTGGCGGCCGGCCACCTGCACCTGAGTCACCTTGGGGCCGGGGAGTGTGGCTGTGTGTCTGTGGACTCTGACCTTGGCCCTGGCTGGGCCAGGTGCTTGCCCCAGCAGGTCACAGCCGCAGGGCTGCAGTGACAGGACCCGCCGGGGCCCAGGGCCTCCAGTGGGGATGGGGTCCCGGCCCCAGTGCCCCCGGTTTGGACTGCCCTCTTCCCTTACTCCAGGGCCAGAGCCCTGTGACCCCCAGGCCGGTGTGGTGAGAGGGGGGTGACAGGTGGCGGAGGTGGAGGCAGGGTCAGCCCGGAGGCTGGGACCCTCTGGAGGGTGCCGCCAGGCAGTGTGGCCGCCCCAGCACACCGAGCAGGTGGGACCTGGCCGGACAGCGGCTGCCATCTGTGGCCTTCAGCCGAGGGCACTCTTAGCCAGGCCGCATTGAGGCTAAAAGCTCTGGAACCAGGTGCCAGGGAGGAAGTGTTGGCCTCCTGGTGGCTCACAGGTTTCCAAATCAGGCGGCTGCCCCGCTCACTGGTCAGACTTTGCTTCCTGTTGGCCCCAGAGACTGGCCACCTGTCAGGGTGGTAGGGAGGTTAGCTCACCTCTCATTCTACAGCCGAATGAGGTGCTGTGAATGTGGGAGGGGCAGAGCTGTGCGTGTGCCCTCAGTCCTCAGGACCTGCAGGTCTGCCCTTACCCCGGGCCCGGCTGGCAGAGCCGAGCACCCTCCCCTCCGAGCTCAGCCTCCGCCGGCCCTGGGAGCAGCTCCCGGCGGCCAGCCTGTGCCGTCACCGCCTACGGGCCGCCCGGCCTCACCGCCCGCCCTCTCCACAGCTACGACATGGTGCACTACGGCCACTCGAACCAGCTGCGCCAGGCTCGGGCCATGGGGGACTACCTCATCGTGGGCGTGCACACCGATGGTGAGGGGCTGTGCCCACCTCCCCCCACTCGCCAGGGGCCCCAGCATCCTGGGATCCTGGTGGGGGCGGGGCCCTGAGTGGTGTGGCCCAGGAGGACGGTGTGGCCGCTCGGGGTGGTCGGTGGCCTCCGTGTCACCTCCTGCCTCCCCTTTTCTGGCCCTAGAGGAGATCTCCAAGCACAAGGGGCCCCCTGTCTTCACGCAGGAGGAGCGGTACAAGATGGTGAAGGCCATCAAGTGGGTGGACGAGGTGGTGCCGGCGGCCCCCTACGTCACCACGCTGGAGACGCTGGACAAGTTCCGCTGCGACTTCTGCGTCCACGGCAGTGAGTGGCAGGCGGGGGCGCAGCCTGAGCCCAGGCCTCGGGCAGCCGGGACGGGCTGTGCCCTGAGGCGCTTGAGGCTGTGGGTTAACACCTGTTCCGTGTGCCTGTCACCTTAGATGACATTACCCTAACTGTAGACGGCCGGGACACCTACGAGGAGGTGAAGCAGGCAGGGAGGTACAGGTGAGCCCGACAGGCCGCTCCCGGTGGCGGGGGTGTGCGGCCACGGCTGTGTCCCCCGGTCGTGGTGGGATGGGGGCTGCACTGCAGAGCGGCCAGTTCTCTCTCACCCAGAGCCTCAGGGAAACGCTGCCTGCATGGCGCCGCCGGGAGGCGTGGCCCAGAGCTCCGCCCACTCGTTGCCTCTGTCCCCAGAGAGTGCAAGCGCACCCAGGGCGTGTCCACCACGGACCTCGTGGGCCGCATGCTGCTGATGACCAAGGCCCATCACAGCGGCCAGGTGAGGCGGGTGGGACCTCCGAGGGCCCTCACCAGGCACCTGGCTGGGGGAGGCGCAGCCGCCTGCATTCCTGAGCTCCAGGCTGTGGCTTCAGTGTCCTGGGCGTGGCCTCATCTGGAGGGGCCGGCCCAACCCTCCCCGTTCCTTGCAGGAGATGTCCTCGGAGTACCGGGCGTACGCAGACAGCTTCGGCAAGGTGAGTGCTGCCGGAGCCACGGCCACCACCGGCTCCCTGCCTCCGGGCGCTGACCAGGTACTGACCAGCACTGCCTGGAGGAGCAAGGACGGCCCACCGAGGCCTCTGACCTGGCGGCCTGGCCCTCTCTCCCTCTCCAGCCCCCTCACCTGCCGCCTGCCAGGGAGATGCTTTTCTCAGAAGGTTCCTCCAGGTGACCAGCGGTGGCCTGAGGTGCCGTGTCGCAGGCCCCCCTCCTAGACCTAGGTGGTGGCGGCTGCAATGCCTGCTGTGGCCACGGGGCGGAGCCACAGTCCCACCAACCACAGGGCCCCTGTCCAGCCCAGCCGTGTCCCAGGCACTGGCCAGCCCTACGTGCCCCTGCCTGAGACACCTGCCCGCAAACAGCACCTGAGCCCGTGGGCACTGGCGGCTGGGCTGGGTTTAGTCCTGACCCGGAGCCCCACGCCTGCGGCCTCCATGCCACACCGGTGCCTCCCAGCAGGCGGCAGGCATGGCAGCCACCGGGCTCAGCGAGGGGACAGGCGAGGCCGTCCGCGGCCGCTGTGGCTGACCACGCCTCCTCTCGCTTGCAGTGCCCGGGGGGGCGGAACCCCTGGACCGGGGTGTCCCAGTTCCTGCAGACGTCCCGGAAGATCATCCAGTTTGCCTCCGGGAAGGAGCCGCAGCCGGGGGAGACCATCATCTACGTGGCGGGCGCCTTCGACCTGTTCCGTATCCTCCGCTGCCCACCTGCCCTGGAGGGCCTCTGACCTCCCGCCCCGGAGGCCTCCAACCTCCCACCATGGGGGCCTCCTGACCTCCCGCCCCGGAGGCCTCCAACCTCCCACCATGGGGGCCTCCGACCTCCCGCCCGGGGGCCTCCTGACCTCCCGCCATGGGGGCCTCCAACCTCCCGCCATGGGGACCTCCTGACCTCCCGCCCCGGGGGCCTCCGACCTCCCGCCATGGGGGCCTCCGACCTCCCGCCCTGGGGGCCTCCTGACCTCCCGCCATGGGGGCCTCTGACCTCCCGCCCGGGGGCCTCCGACCTCCCACCATGGGGGCCTCCGACCTCCCGCCATGGGGACCTCCGACCTCCCGCCATGGGGACCTCCTGACCTCCCGCCATGGGGGCCTCCGACCTCCCGCCATGGGGACCTCCGACCTCCCGCCATGGGGGCCTCCTGACCTCCCGCCCCGGAGGCCTCCTGACCTCCCGCCATGGGGGCCTCCAACCTCCCGCCATGGGGACCTCCTGACCTCCCGCCATGGGGGCCTCCGACCTCCCGCCATGGGGACCTCCTGACCTCCCGCCATGGGGGCCTCCGACCTCCCGCCCGGGGGCAGCTCGGGGCACGGGGGGGGGGGGGGGGGGGGCGTGGGAGGGTAGCGGCCTGTCTTCACTTGTTCCTGAACGGGGCACAGACATAGGGCACGTGGACTTCCTGGCGAAGGCACACGGCCTGGCAGAGAGGCCCTACGTCATCGCCGGCCTGCACTTCGACCAGGTCACAGCCCGGGAGCCGTCGTGGGGAGCCTTGAGGGGGGCTCGGTAGCCCATGGGGAGCGAGGCCCCAGCTGCTGACGGAGGCAGAGGAGACGAGCTGAGCTGGGGCCTCGGGCAGGGCGGTGTGCGGGGCCCTCCCCACGCCAGGCGGTCCCCACCGGGGTCGCTGGCAGGGGCCTGCTGACCGCCCCTCTGGCCTTAGGAGGTCAACCACTACAAGGGCAAGAACTACCCCATCATGAACCTGCACGAGCGGACCCTGAGCGTGCTGGCGTGCCGGGTGAGCGCGGGCGGGGCGGGCGGGGCAGGCCTGGCGGCGGGGACGAGGCCCGGCGGGGCCCGGGGTCCTCGCTAACAGCGGTGCGTCCCCACAGTACGTGTCAGAGGTGGTGATCGGGGCCCCCTACGCGGTCACCGCCGAGCTCCTGGACCACTTCAAGGTGCGGCCCCCAGCGGCGGGCGGGGAGCTGGGCTGGGTGGGGCAGGCGCCCTGTGGGTGGTCCCGGGAGGGCTCTCTGACCGGCCCCTCTGCAGGTGGACCTGGTGTGTCACGGGAAGACGGAAATCGTGCCTGACAAGGACGGCTCCGACCCGTACCAGGTGGGCACGCGGCCGGGCGCCTGCTGCTGGGGCTGGTGGGACCACTGCCCCCCGGGCCTCACAGGAGCAAGTGTCCCCCTCACCTCCCCCGTCCCCGCCCTTCAGGAGCCCAAGAAAAGGGGCATCTTCCGTCAGATCGACAGCGGGAGCAACCTCACCACGGACCTCATTGTCCAGCGCATCATCAAGAACCGGTGAGGCCCCGCGTTGGGGAAGCGGAGCCCGAGGCCGGGCTGCCCCATACTCACGGCCCCGCCCCCGCGCCCGCCCCAGGCTGGAGTATGAGGCCCGGAACCAGAAGAAGGAGGCCAAGGAGCTGGCCTTCCTGGAGGCCGTGAAGCAGCAGGAGGAGCTGCCCGAGAGAGGGAGCCACGTCGCCTTCTGAGGGAGGACGTCCCAGGAGCCTGGCTGGCCCCCCTGTCCTGCTTCCTGCCTCCCAGCGGGCTCGCGTGTTCTCAGCTGCAGCCCCGACCAGCGGCCCTGAAGGGCCGGTGAGGACGTTCCTGCCTTCCCCTCCCTGAATGGCGCCCCTCAGACCCTCCGTTAGGCTGCACGGAGGGAGGGCCAGCACCGCGGAGGGCCAGCTTCCCTCCACCCGGCTGCACTGCTGGGCCCCGTCCGCCCCCCGGAGGCTGCAGACAGCCATGCTTCCTGGCGCCCAGCTCGGCGAGTCCACTTCAGGGACAAGGACCTGAGGGGCTGCACTTGTCTGGGTGCAGGCCGGCCGCTTCTGCACGGCGCCTCCGCCCTCACTGCCCTGGTGTCCTGAGCGACTCCCGGCCGCCTCCTGCTCCCCCACTCTCCTCGCCTCTGTGCCTAATGTGCAACCAAATAAACCTGGTGGGCGGTGCTCTGTGTCAGCTGTCGGCCCTGCTCCCACCACCGCCCAGAGGGCAGCAGCAGGCAGCGGGGCAGCTGTGACCTGGCAAACAGACCCCTCTGGCTGGAGCGCCTGTCCCAGCGGGAAGGCGGGAAGCTGGGCCCGGGTCCGGGCAGCCAGGACCAGGCGGAAGCCCTGGGAGCTGCAGGCCCTCCAGGCGTCGGCGGTGGTAGCCATGTCCGTGACTCCAGAGCCAAGCAGGTTGGCAGGGAGCCCGAGAACAGGTGCCAGAGGCAGTGCCCGCAGGGAAGTGAGCCAGGCCCGGGGGGTACCAGGTGGGGTGCCAGCTCTGGCCCAGCCGGTGACATTGGCCATTAGGCTGTCAGGAGCCCCTCCTCCCACGCCTGCTTCCGGACATCCTGGTCACACCCGTGTCCCGGGACAGCAGCCGTTGCCAAGGCCCCATAGGGGGTTCTGGGCCGGGCACTGGGCTGGGTTCAGTGGAGCCGACCATCCCAGGGCCTCCTTTCCTGTGAGCACATCAATGGGGCAGGAGGTGGTGCCAGACTCGGGACAGGAGCCCCTCCCAGTGAACTGCCCTGTCTGCTCACCCCGGGAATGACAGGCCCACGGCAACCACGCCCACTAGGCAGAGGGTGTTACCCCGGGACACTGAGAAGGGTGGAAGGAGTCCCTGTCAAAGGCTCCCACAGCCCCTGGGAACCCAGGCTCCACCCAGAAGCTGCCTCCACAGGAGCCTCCCACGGGCTGTCGCCCTGACACCTGACACAGCCTGACGTGGGACACGTCCCTGGGCTGGGGGCACAGCGAGGAGGTGGGGACAGGATGGAGACGGAGCGCCAGCACCTGCCTGGCCAGGCCCCCCAAACCAGCTCGGCTTACCAGTGAGAAGCTGCCTGAGCCCCAGGCCCCTGACCCGTGGCTCCTTCGCCTCCCCACGGGCAGGAACAGCCCCCAGGGCCTCGGGGGCCACCAGGCCCGCTCCTGCCCCTCTTCCGGCTGATGCTGCGCTCCTCTGCCTCCCAGGTAGTGACTCAGGGCCCAGCGGCACCCAGAGGTGTTTATTCATGAGAATGTTCACACCCACAGGCAGGGAACAGGAGCAGAGGGGTTCAATGAGACTCGCTGGGTAAAGGTGTCCGCCGGCCGGTTGGGGTCCGCGGAGGGGGGGGCGGGCCTCCAGCGGCCGGGCCCTCACTCCTTGAACTTCCACTCCTGGCGGCACATGGGGCAATGCTGCTGCGCCTGCTGTGCGTTGAGCCACTTGAGGATGCAGTGCATGTGGAAGCAGTGGGAGCACTGGCCCCACACCAGCGGGCAGTCGTCGCCCGGCACCTTGCCTGCAGGGACAAGAGCGCGGTCACAAAGGCAGGCAGCAGCAGGCGGGACCGGCCGGGACCACAGGGAGAAGACAACTGCAGGAGTCACCCCTGATTCTGAGGGACACACACCCCCCCCCCGTGTGAGCCCCACCCAGGGAGAGCGGCTGGGGGGCATCAGTGGCAGGAGGAGCCCTGGCCTGGCCCACAGCCCCCACCGCTGGCCTATCAGCAGGCACTGCAGCGTGGCCACCCGACCTGCAACAGGACTGTCTCAGCGCAGCGGGAGCTGGGCCTCTTTCTTAAAAAAAAAAAATTAATTTTTTATTGACTTGAGAGAGGAAGGGAGAGGGAGAGAGAGAGAAACATCAATGAGACAGAATCAGAGACAGGCTGCTTGCATGCCCCACACTGGGGATGGAGCCCAAAACCTGGGCCTGCGCCTGGGCCCTGACGGATTCAAACCCTGACCTCCTGGTTCATAGGTTGCTGGGTCTTGGGTCTTTTGTTGATAGTTGACACCAGCTGCTGCTTGTTTGCTGCTTGTTTGTGAGATTTTAGCAAAGTCTGAAGCCTGAGCCAGGACATGCCATTCATTTGGAAAAGCAGCTACAAACAGCTTGGGTGAGACTGCCTATGGGATGGTTTTGGGGCTCAGGGAATCCCCAAGACAGAGCAAGTAGTGTGCTGAGGTTCAATCACTGAGCCCTGCCAGCCAGGCAACCTTTTAAAATAATTTCCTCTAACAATACCACTTGCTTCCTGAAGCTTTTATGACACAACCAGAAAACTATACACTTAGAAAACACAAAATTATACACCTCACTCCCTGCCTGTGCCAGGAGCCCACTGCATGGGACACCCCCACACCCAGGGCCTTTCAGGTGCCTTACAAACAGGAGGAGAGCAGGAGCAGCCGGCCCACTGCTGGGTCCCGGGAGCCCACAGGCAGAGGCAGTCTCCCAGGGCTGCCAGCGTCCGATGGCGACCTCCTCAGTAAGAACTCAGTCACGGGACTCTCACTCAGAGCTGCTGGGCCGCGGAGCGGACTCGGCCTCAGGTGCTCTGGGTTCCCACACGGACTCCCATTGCGCGAGAGAAACCCACTTAGTCTCACAGGAAGCACCTGAGCTTGTCAGATGCCCCACACAGCCCAGCTGGCTCCCTCAGCAACCACCGGCAGCCCACCGGTCAGACCAATGCTCCCCTGCCCGCAGCTGGCAGGGTCCACAGACACCCAGCTCCGGGCCAGCTGGGATGGTGCTCGCTGGGCTCTGCAGGCCCTGGTGCCATCTTGAACACAGGCTCACTCACCCACCAACCTCACCCCAGGGCAGTGCCACCAAAAAGACGTTTGAAGACTTCTTTCCAGAATGTACAATCCGTTGCTTAGAAAGTTGCAAGAGCCGAAACCGGTTCGGCTCAGTGGCAGACTGAAAGGTCCCAGGTTCGATTCCGGTCAAGGGCATGTACATTGGTTGCAGGCACATTCCCGGTAGGGGGTGTGCAAGAGGCAGCTGGTCGATGTTTCTCTCGACGTCTCTAGCTCTCTATCCCTCTCTCCTCCTCTCTGTAAAAAATAAAAATATTTAAAAAAGAAAGTTGCAAAAGCTCCTCAGCTCCCTGGCCTGTGAGCCCTTGGCAACAATTTAAATGAGTTAAAAGCTTTGCAGACGCCGGTGACCTGCCACAGCTAACCTGGCCGAGTTCTTGGACATCCCGTGGGGGGTGAGCCCTCGGGCCGTGTCTCCTTCGAGCTGTTTGCAGACCAAGTTCCAAAGACAGCAGGAAACCCCGTGCTCTGAGCACCGGGTGGAGAGGATTTAGTTACAAAGATTCCTGCTTTCACAGTTATTCCGGGGCTTACGTGCCACGGTGGTGACTCCACATGCCATAATGGCACAGGAGGCAAGTCCACCCATGGGGAGAAGTTTGCGGACGAGAACTTCATCCTGAAACACACAGGCCCTGGCATGCTGTCTTTGACACAAATGGCTCCCAGTGTTTCATCGCTCTGCCAACCTGAGCGGTGGGATGGCAAGCACGCGGTCTTCGGCCAGGAGACGGGAGGCATGGATGTTGTGAGGGCCACAGAGCAATCTGGGTGCAGGAATGGCAAGACCAGCAAGAAGATGGCCATTGCTGACGGTGGACAACTCTAATGAACCTGACTGTTTTATCTTCACCACCAGACCATTCCTTCTGTAGCTCAGGAGAGCACCCCTTCACCCCAATTTGCTTGGAATGCTCCATCATCTCTGTGCTCTTGCCAGTTTATTGGGTTCCATCATTTCCTTTCTCCTTACCAGTCTAGCTGGGTTGCAGAGTTAAATTTATGATTATGCAATAAAAACTAGGCAGTTATCTGTCTAAATAAATAAATAAAATGGATTAAAAAACACTCAGTAAAGCCAATCAATGGCTACCTCCGGCTCTGCCCACCCGGGTGATCGGATCTGGACGGATTAGCTCCTGGTGATAAGATTTCCCCCCAAAGCAGATGAGATTAAGCCTGGAACAAAATAGCATTTGCTCATCGATGTTTCTTTTTTTCTCTTCTTTCTTTCTTTTTCTTTTTGCTCATCAATGTTTCTAACTCTCTATCCCTCTCCCTTCCTCTATGTAAAAAATCAACAAAATATATTTAAAAATAAAATAGCGTTTGCACTAACATTCCACCGAGGTTTGCATTTCACTGTGAGAAGCTAAGTCCTGTCGCTATTCTGGGCACTCAGCCCCACAGAAAAGGCCTGGTCACTGCAGGGCGGGGGGGAGGCCTCAGCCCCCCGCCTTTTCCTCAGGGCACCCGGCCCATGGCCGAGTCCTCCCCTGGCTTCTGCTCTGTGTTCCCTTGGGTCTGACGAAAAACTCAACCCACCGCAGCAAACGTCTGCTTTGGACCTAAATAGACAGCAAAATATTTCTACTTGGCAGAACAGGCAGGAAACAAGGGACCACAAAGGAGAAATCCAGTGAAACCTGATGGTCAGCAAATCACTCACACACACACCAGCTTCCTAAAGGGTCGGAGGTCAGAGAGAGAGAAAGAGGCTGCTCCAGACCAAGCAGCTAAAAAGACAAAAAGATCAAACAGGCAGCGGGCAGGGCGGCGGGCGCATCGGAACCGGGGGAAGCGCAGGGGTGAGGGGCCAGTTTATCAACCACTTTGAACCGCGTCCCCCATCCAGGAGGCCCAGCCGAGCTTCCTCACGGCCCCTCCGTCCGGGGGGATGTGTCTCCTTACAAAACTCCTTTTCTGGCCCATTGTTTTCAAAGAATTCAACCCCGCTCTTTGCCCCACATGTGCCCCAGCCCGGACCCCTCACAAAACGATGGCGTCCTGACCCACGTTCGGACCCAAACCTCCGACCTTCCTTCTGCCAGCTTTTCTCCAGGGGAGGGACCCCAGAGCCCAGAGATACCCCAGAACCCAGAGCCCAGAGGGACCCCAGAGCCCAGAAGGACCTCAGAGCCCAGAGCCCAGGGGGACCCCAGAGGGACCCCAGAGCCCAGGGCAGACGCCGGGGCGGGGGCACTCACAGTCCGGGCAGCAGCCGTTGAAGGCCATCCTGCAGATGCCGCAGTTCTCATCGTTGGCCACCCAGAGCCAAGTGGCCACGCCGTTCCAGCACTTAATCTTCACCTTCATGGCGGCGGGGCCTGCGGGCGAGGAGAGCGCGCTGCGGCCGAGGCTGCGGGGCGACCCCGCCGCGAGGGGCCGGGGCCGGGGTCGCCGCGGGAACCCGGGCGCCGCAGAGCTCGGACCGCACTCGGGCCCGTGCGGAGGCCGCCGAGGGGCCGAGCTGCCGCCACCAGCCGGGCCTCCGGGGCCGCGGACAGACAGGGACCCACCGCGCCCCGCCCAGAGCTCACCCAGGAAGCCGCCAGGGGCTGGGGTCGGCCGAGGGGAAGGGCGGGGAGCCGGCCCCGCCCCGCCCCGCCCCGCCCCGCCCCCGGGAGGCTTTAAACCGCGCGCAGCGCCGCCCGCCTACAGTTGCTTCGCCGGCTCCGCGCGGGAAGGTCTGAAAGGAGCGCGCTCGCAGCCCGGCAGCTCTCAGTCCCGCCCGCCCAGCCCCGACTCCTGCGCGCACGCGCCACCCCGCCCCTCGCTGCGCCCGCAACCAATCACCGACCGCGTAGGGGACGCCGCGCCGGAAGTGACGTGCCGGCGTGCTGACGCGCGGGCTCGAGCCGAGGCCGATTCCGCGCCCGCCATGGCCGACAAAATGGACATGTCTCTGGACGACATCATTAAGCTGAACCGGAGCCAGCGGGGCGGCCGCGGCGGGGGCCGGGGCCGAGGCCGGGCCGGCTCCCAGGGAGGCCGCGGAGCGCAGGCCGCCGCACGAGTGAGCCGGGGCGGCGGGCCCATTCGGAACCGGGCGGCCCTCGCCCGCGGCGCGGCGGGCGGCGGAGGCAGGAACCGGCCGGCGCCCTACAGCCGGGTAAGTGCGGCGGCCGCGGCGGGGCGCGGCGGGCGGGGCGGCGCGCGGCGGGGACGGCGGTGGGCGGGGTCGGGCCGGTGGGCGCGGGCGGCGGGCCGGGCGGGAAGGTCGCGCGCCGGCCGGGCCCGGGAGGGAGGCGGGGACCCTCGCCTTTGTCTGGGCCGGGCAGCCGGCCTCGTGGCGGGGCTTCGGGGGCGCGGCGCGGCGGCCGGGCGGCGAGAAGTTAGTTGGAGGGGACGGAGAAGTTGCGGGACCGGCCCGGGCGCCGCGGGGGCGGGGCGGAGGGCTGGCGGCCGCGGCTGCGAGGGAGCGAGAGCCGCGCAGAGGGACTCACGTTTGTGTTTTCGTGTTTCTTCCCTTTTCAGCCGAAACAACTTCCCGACAAGTGGCAGCACGACCTCTTCGACAGCGGCTTCGGCGGCGGCGCCGGCGTGGAGACGGGCGGGAAGCTGCTGGTGTCCAACCTCGACTTCGGAGTGTCCGACGCTGACATCCAGGTGAGGAGCCGCGCCCCGCGGCCGTCCCCCGCGCGGAGTTAGTCGCGTTGCCTGGGGATGTGGTCCCGGGCCGCCCCGGTCAGGGGCCCGTGCTCCGGGGGAGCGAGGCTGCTGGCTCCGGTGTTCGTCTCCGCGGTCTGCGGAGGCGGGGTAGTGCGTGTCCCCGGCCGCAGGCCCTGAGCCCTGTGTCTCTACCTGTTGTTTCACTTCCCACCACCCTCAGTCTCACTAGTGGCCCGCATTCCAGACCTGCCTTTGGCTGAAGCCCTTTCGTTTGTTTTTTGCTTTTATTGGTTGAGTCCCAGAAGGGATTCAAACTGGTTCACTGGCTAAGCGATGGCACCGTGGGGTCAGGTGTAGAGAAGGCGGGGTCAGGGTGCCCCGCGCTCAGCTGTGGGAGGACAGAGCGAGGCCGGTGAGCACTCACAGTGTCTCAACGCTTTTTTTAAGGTGGTTTCTGGCATCCACTGGAAACCGCTTTTGGTGACTCCTCTTCCCGCGCTGTGCCTGCGGCCGGAGTAGCCCCACACTCTGGGTTCCCTCTCCAACTCCCAGCCTGCCTGAGGTCAGGGCAGTTCCCATGGCAGCGCTTGACTTGAGACTTTGCGGCAGGCTTGAGTAGGAGGAGGGGAAGGTGAGCCAGAACCTGCCCTGGGGGAGGGGCTGGGGCAGGGCTCCCTGACGAGTGGGCCCTTGGAGCCGGTACGCACGGCAGGTGGTGTCCCCGGCTCTGTGATCTCGGCCTTTGCTGGCGGTTGGCACTGTCCTCGGGTGTGTGGTCAGCTCCTTTGTCAAGGAAGACAGCGACTCCAGGGGTGCTCCTCACAGGGGGGCTGTGTGGTGCAGAGGTCAGGCCCTGTGCTGGCAGGGGCCCTCAGGCCCAGCTGTTCTGGAAGTTGCTGTCTTGCCTGCCCCGTCCTTCCCCACGTGTCCACTCCCACTGTCCTGCCCCACCTGTATGTCTGCCCGCCCCCCAGGGAAGTGCCCTCAAATAGCTGACCTCCGGGGGGCTGTCCCTGGGCCCAGGAGGAAGGCATGTGCTGACAGAGTCTTCCTGCCCCTCAGGAACTGTTTGCGGAGTTCGGGACGCTGAAGAAGGCTGCCGTGCACTACGACCGCTCTGGCCGCAGCCTGGGAACCGCCGACGTGCACTTCGAGCGGAAGGCAGACGCCCTGAAAGCCATGAAGCAGTACAATGGCGTCCCTTTGGATGGTGAGCGGGGGTGGGCTCCGGGAAGCTGAGGGCTGCACCCGTATGCTTCCCCCTGGTTGAGGACACTGCCTTTACCCCTTGCCTCCCATTCTGCACCCTCTGCTGCCCCTTCACCTGGACCCCCTCCTTGAGCTCCTTCCCGAAGCTTCACCTTCCCAGCAGCCCCCGGTGCTGCTCTGCAGGCGGGCTGAGGGTGTCAGGGTCCCCCCACCTTTTCACCTGTAAGCAGTGCCACCGGAGTGAGGCGTTGGCAGGCTGCCCTTGGCGCTGTCTTCTCCTCCTCCCAGTGGGTCCAGGTGTCTCTTGGTGGGTTTCCGCTGACGGGAGTGTGCCCCCTTGTGTTCTGCGCAGGCCGCCCCATGAACATCCAGCTCGTCACCTCACAGATAGACACGCAGCGCAGGCCGGTTCAGAGGTGAGTCGCACGTCTGGGGAGCCTTCGGGGGGCTGGCCTCGGCTTATCTTCAGGCCCCAGATGTGAACACCCCCTTCTTCTCGCTAGTGTCAACAGAGGCGGGATGACTAGAAACCGAGCATCCGGAGGCTTCGGCGGCACCCGGAGAGGCGCCCGCGGGGGCAGCCGAGGCAGAGGCAGGGGCACCGGCCGGAGTTCGAAGCAGCAGATCTCCGCGGAGGAGTTGGACGCCCAGCTGGACGCATACAACGCCAGGGTGAGTCCCGGCCGGGGCTGGGGCGGTCCGAGCGGGAGGACGGGAGCCTCCTCTGGTGGAGGCACGACCGCTGACCCCTGTCTCCTGCTGCAGATGGACACCAGTTAAAGCACCAGGAGTCCGGGCACGGAGCTGGGCCAGACGTCCCCGTGCCCTGCTTCCAGAGGGCGGCCGGCGGGGCTGTGGCCAATGATGGAGTTGTTTCTTCTGTTTTGAAATAGGATTTAAAACTCATGTAAAGATTTTCTTTTCCTTTTTTTTTAAAATTCTGAAACAAACCTGTTTTGTACTGAGTTATTTTTGGGATAAATTTTACTGGTTGCTGTTGTGGAGGAGGTGGCGTTTTCACCTTTGCCATAATAAACAGAAACGTGTGTAGAACTGGACCTCTGATTTGATTCGTCGTTGGAGCCCTCAGGCTGGGGGCGACACTTTGGTGCTGACCGGGAGGGAGGAGAGGGATACAGGGAGGAGGGTGACATGTGGTGTCCTGGCAAGCTGGCACTGGAGCTGGGGAGGCGGTGGCTGGGCGGTAGGGGCGGGGAGGAGCCCCAGGGACCCCCAGCCTTCCAGCTGGGACCAGAGGAGGGGTTCCTCGGTCTAGCAGGAAGAGGGACTCATGCATGCTCGGCCAGGCCTCTCCTGGAGGCAGCCTGCAGCTCAGGCTGCTCCCAGTTCCCAAGGGGCTGGAGTGTGACTCAGGAGTGGCCCTGTCACTGCCCCCTCCAGTGCTGTCCCTGCAGAGCCAGTGGCTGTCGCATTGCAGCCTGTGGAACGGGAGGCACTGAAGGACCTCGGAACAGCCGAGCCTGACAAGCTGCTGTGGCCCAGGGGGTGGATGTAACCGGTCGGGTTGTCTAGGCAGAGGCAGGCACATCCCTGAGGAGGTGGCCTTGGGCAGAGGGGCACGGCCAGGCAGGAGACTGCGCGGGGAGTGTTGGCAGGAGAGGTGGGGTCATCTTGGGTCCCTGCTGACCAGAAGTTAAAGTCATTACCTGAGGGAGGGGTGAGGTCTCCAGGCCGGAGGGCATAAGTGCTGGAAGTGCCAGCCTCTGGGGTGGGGAGCCGGGTGGTTCCTCAGTCCTGGGGAGCAGTGCCAGGACCTGAGGGCCGGCCAGGTGCTGGAAACAACTGGGAACAAGAAATCTCAGCCGAAATGGGTTTGGCTCAGTGGATGGAGAGCCTGCAGACTGCAGGGATCCGGGTTCGATTCTGGTCAAGGGCATGTACCTTGGTTTCAGGCACATCCCCAGTAGGGGGCGTGCAAGAGGCAGCTGATCGATGACTCCATTGATGTTTCTAACTCTCACTCTCCCTCCGTAAAAAATCAATAAAATATATATTTTAAAAATCTCAGTGAAAGGCTGTGGAGGAAAATGGGGGAGGGGAAGGCCCTGAGGTAAGGGCCCTGGTGTGACTGGTGGGAGGGGCTGGCGTGGAAGAAGGGGCTGGGTAAGGAGGGCTGTGGGCAGCTCTCTGGCCTCCATGGGTGACATCCATGGACACTGCCTAAGGTGCATGTGGAGTGGGCTTTTGTAGTGTTTCAGTGTGCAGAACGTGAGATGCTTGTTTTAGAAAACGATTTTCAATTGACAGAAAACTTGGGAGGGGTCGATGAGGGAGGAGGGAGACATGTAAAACTTTCAACAATAAAGATTTTTTTAAAAAATACAACATTCAGTGGGCACAAAAGGCTGGTAATACACACAGGGCTGCCAGGTGAACCCTTGTCCTACAGGCGTTGTGAAATGAGAGCTCTATCAAGGTAGTGTTTTTCTCTCAGTGTACAACTCGGTGATGTTACTGTACTGTCACACACCACCAATGTTCCAATTCCAGAATCTTCTCATCACTGCTCAGCCCTTCCTCTCCCGGATTGGCAATGGGCTGCTCAGTCTCTGGGTTTCCATTTTTTTGGTTTTTTTTTTTTAATATATATTTTATTAACTTTTCACAGAGAGGGAGAGTTAGAAACATCCAAGATAAACACTGATCAGCTGCCTCTTGCACACCCCCTTCTGAGGATATGCCCTTGACCAGAATCGAACCTGGGACCTTTCAGTCTGGAGGCTCTACCCACTGAGCCAAACTGGCTTCAGCTGTTTCCCTGTTCTGGGTGTGTCACACAGAAACGGTTTGCACGGGGCCTTCTTATCTGGCTGCTTTAAGTTCCAGTTCGACACTAACCAGCTGACCTCCCGACCAGGGCTCCTGAGGATTTCAAGTGCATTCACTTCATGGCACAAATCAAGGCTTCAGTCCTCTAACTGCTGAGCCATCTGTGACAGATGCCTCATCAGCCACCTGTGACAGGTCTCTCATCAGCCGCTGGGCCTTTGAGCTGCTTCCCTTTTTGGCTGTTAGACTAATGCTGCTAAGCTCATTATTCACACGTCATGTTATGGGATTATAAAGATGGCTATATTTTGCATAAGTGTTTACATGATTTACTGTAGTGAGATGTTATTATTAACGAGTCACCCTAGGATCAACTGACTATTTGGGGGTAATAGCAATAAATAATGCATCATTCAAGATTTTCACGTACAAATGAAACCAGAAGGTAATCTCGTTAATTTTAAGAACATCAACTTGTTTGATCATTTAGCCCAAGCTATGACAGAGTTAATTTTTTTGTTATCTACACAGGTTGCAGAAACAGTTGTAAAACATTTTAGCACAATAGTAAATTAATATCTAATAAAAATTAATGTGAGCATACCAGTTTGTAAATGTATTAATACAAATCCATCATAAACCATTCAAGTTACCATAATGTTTTAATGGCCTTTTTTTGTACTTATTAAACACTCAAGATTTCATAACAGTTAAGAACATCCAATGTCCACCTTTGGGGGTTCCTTGGGCACTTAATTCACTCTAAATATTGACAAATAACAGAGTCATTTCATCTGGTTTTATTTTTCTCAACTATATTTTGAAGAGATTAAGTAACTGATGAGGTTTAAAAAAAATGAATTCCAGCCCTAGCTGGTTTGGCTCAGTGGATAGAGCATCAGCCTGCAGACTAAAGGGTCCTGGGTTTAATTCTGGTCAAGAGCACATGCCCAGTTTCAGCTCCATCTCATCACTGGTGTTTCTATTTCTCCCTTCCTCCCTAAAATCAGTAAAAATATATTTAAGAAAAAAGAATTCCCGCTAAGAAGTGCCAGTGGATTAGAAAATGGCCATTTTTCGATGCCTAATAAAATGCCTGCTGAGAACAATCCCCATGTCCTCTGACGCCACGGGCTTGAGAGGCCCAGGGCACCTCTGCAAGTTTACTGGGGCTCCTCCAGCCGGAGCTGTGGGGGCAGGAGCACCCACAGCACAGAGGGCTGGGCAGGCAAACCCAGCTCCCCACATCCTGGTTTCCTCAGCCCGAGCCACAGCACAGGGAAGCAGCTGTGGTGTGTGTAGCCATAAAGATTGGCTCTTTGTCTGGGTTCCTGGCACGGCTCCCACAGCCCTGGGAATGTGCTGGTAGGAGTGTCCTTTTATCCAGAACAGACGCTGCTCACAGTCGGGTGCGGTGATGTGATGGTTCTGGTGGCCCTGGACAGTGTCCCCACAGCTGCTGGCCCCGCCCTCTGGGGAGGAGCCGAGGCTGGAGATGAGTCAGTCACCACAAACTGGTGGTTTAACCAACCTTGCCTTCTCATGAAGACTCCATAAAAGCCCCTAAACCATGGGTCTGAGGAGGTTCCAGGTCAGTGAACACACGAGGTGGTGCTGGGAGTGTGGTGGGCCCCGACAGGACATGAAACCCCAGTACACCCTCCCTTCCCTGCCCCGTGCATTTCTTGCAAGTCGTGTCCTTTATAATAAACCGATGATCCTAAGAGCTTGACTGAGCTGTGTGACTTATTTCATGGAATTTTCTAACCAAGGGTGGGGAAGTCGTGGTAATCCTCAAATGTGCTGTCTGCTGGCAAAAATGTGGGTCGGTGTGGCTCAGTGGATAGAGCGTCAGCTTGTGGACTGAAGGGTCCCGGGGTTCAATTCCAATAAGAGGCACATGCCCAGGTTTTGGGCTCAATCCCCAGTGGGGGGCGTGCAGGAGGGGAACAATCAATGATTCTCATCATTGATATGTCTCTCTTCCTCTCCCTTCCTCTCTGAAATCAGTAAAAATATATTTTAAAAACAAATTTTGAACTTTCCAGTTGCACATCAATGAGATGGAGGTCCATCCTATAGACAACCCTCTAAGCCCTTCAGAAAGATGCTCATTCAGGCCGAAGCCGGTTTGGCTCAGTGGACAGCGGGTCGGCCTGCGGACTGAAAGGTCCCGGGTTCGATTCCGGTCAAGGGCGTGTACCCTTCCTCTCTGAAATCAGTAAAAACACATTTTAAAGAGAAGTTTTGAGCTTTCCAGTTGCACATCAGTGAGATGGAGGGCCATCCTATGGAGTCTATGGAAGCCCTTAGGGAAGAAAGTTCAAAGTCAGACCGCCTGTCCGAGGCCAGCATCCCCGCGGGGCAGGAGGACCGCCCAAACCGAGGCCCAGGCTGCGCTTGCGGGGATGTTCTCCCCAAGAAACGCTCCACTCGGAGGATCCTGAGCTTCCTTCTTCTTTGGGGCGCTGTCTGGGCCCCGCCTGCTCGCGTTTCCGGTCGGTTGGCACCCTCCGCCCCCGCAGAGGCCCGGCTCCAGGGCTCGAACCAGGGAGGCCGCGGGGGGCGTGAGCGGTCAGTGTGCCCCCCGGGGGCGCCAATAGCGGGAGGCGGGAGGGGGGAGGCCGGCCGTCGCCGACCCGCGCTGGGCTCGGCGGACCCGGCGGAACACGTGGCCGCACGGCCAGCTCGTCCCGCCCGTTCCGGGCGCCTAACGGCACATCGCGGGCGGGAACGCCACGACATCCTGGTGGGGGACACGCAGGAGCCGAGACACGGCTCCGTCCCCCGAACTCGCGGGCTGGGCCGTGGGGGCGCCGGCGACCCGAGACGTCCGCAACGAAGAGCTCAGAACCCGCAACCGCACTTCTTCCCGGTGTGGGGCTGGGGCTCCGCAAGATGGCGGCCGCGCGCTCCCGGCAGCCCCCGCGCCCCCGCGCGTGCGCCCTCTGCCGACCCGCCCGGCGCGAGCGGAAGTCGCGTGACCCCGGAAGTGGCCAGGCGGGCGCGCGCGGGCGGGGCGCGGACGTTCGTCATTTCGTGCGGGAGGGAGTGCGAGCGCGGCGCGGTCGAGCCTCCGGTGAGCGCGGGGGCGGCGGCGCGGCGGCGGGGCGGGGGCGGCGGCGGCGGGGCGGGGGCCGCGCCCTGGTCCGTCCCGCCCGCCGTGGGGTCTGCGGGGGGCGGGGCGGGGGCGGCGGTGACAGCGGGCGGCGGCCCGGGCGCAGGGCGGGGCCCGGGCGCAGGGGCCCCACGTGCGGGCGGGGGGCGCGGGCCCGCGGCCGGGCGGGTGCCGGCGCCTTTTGTGGCCGCCGCTCGTGCCCCGCGGCGCCCCCGCCCCGCCGGTGCGCGCGGGCGGGGACCAGGCCCGTCGCCCCTCCCCTGGGGAAGGCGCGCCGGCCCCCGGCGGTCCCCGCGCTTCCCACCCCACCCCGCGCCGCCCAGATTGCGGCCCGGCCTGCGGAAGTGCGGGGCGGCGGCGTCGCCTCCGTAGGATCCCGTCGCCTGCGGCCGCGCTCGGTGGCGTTAGGGCGTGAGCCTTGGGGACGGATCCGGAGGAAGCGGCGGGGGACCGGGAAGAGCGGGCGGGCCCCTCACGCCTGCCCGCAGGCACGCTCGCCCGGAGAGCAAGGCAGCCCTTTGTGGGATCTGGTGACGCGGGCAGGTCCGGGCTGCCTCCCCCGGGCACCCCGGCTGGGCCCCCACCACCGTGCACGGCTCGCCGGGCCGAGGGGCTTTCCGACGCCCCAGGATTGCGGGGAGGGCGGGAGGGATCCCAGGCTCACGCCCTGCTCCCGCTGCAGCGCGTTCCCAGCTCCAGGTCCCAAGCCCTCCCCGCGGGCAGACACCTTGCGTTCCTCCGCCCTTCTGAGACCCACCTGTGGGGCTCCCCTGGCCGTGCATCCTTCGAGGCCTGGCTCTGGGCTAGGACGGGGCCCAAGGGGCATTCCTGGCCGGGGAAGCTCCCAAACCAGCAGGCGGGGGCCCTGCCGGCGAGGGCCTGGGCAGCTTAGAAGAGCAGCAGGACTCGAGGGGACTCTCCGGGGCCTGGCCAGAGGGACCGGGGTCACTGCCGCTGCTCCCTGGAGCGCGGGTAGCAGGCTGCGCGTCCCCGTTAGTCCTGGGAGGCATTCTTCGGGTGGAGCCCCCTCCCAGTGTCCCCGCGGGTCCCCTGAGGTTAGTGTGGCCCCTCTGGCTCCTGCTCCAGAAGGCCCCCCCTCCCCTCGGGCACAGGGGGCCTGGCCTGCAGAGGCCTCTTCACACACGCACCCTTGCAGCCAAGGGGCAGGAGGGGGCCGCGGTGGGGCCCCGCAGGCTGCCGCAGTGCCCCCGCCCACAGGTGCCCAGGTCCAGCGAGAGGGGAGATGGCCGAGCAGGAGCCCACCGCCGAGCAGCTGGCACAGATTGCGGCCGAGAACGAGGAGGACGAGCACTCGGTCAACTACAAGCCCCCGGCCCAGAAGAGCATCCAGGAGATCCAGGAGCTGGACAAGGACGACGAGAGCCTGCGCAAGTACAAGGAGGCCCTGCTGGGCCGCGTGGCCGTGTCCGCCGACCCCAACGTCCCCAACGTGGTGGTGACCCGCCTGACGCTCGTGTGCAGCACGGCCCCCGGCCCCCTGGAGCTGGACCTGACAGGTGGGCGGCACCTCCGCTCCCGGATAGCGGCCTCCTGTGTTTTCTGGGGACCTGGCGCCCTCTGGTGGGGGCCACAGGAAGTGCAGCCGAGGGCTTGGCTCTGAAGGCTTTGGCTTTGAGGGCCTGGGTCCCTCTGGGGGCGGGAGGGGCAGTGGCTGCCCCGCCCCAGCCTCCTCGAGCGCTGTCCCCCACACAGGTGACCTGGAGAGCTTCAAGAAGCAGTCCTTTGTGCTGAAGGAGGGTGTGGAATATCGGATAAAGATCTCTTTCCGGGTAAGGCGGAGGCTCCGGAGGGCCAGGCCAGGCTGGGGCTGGAGAGCCCCGCTGAGCCCACTTGGTCCCTCCCTGCAGGTGAACCGCGAGATCGTGTCTGGCATGAAGTACATCCAGCACACATACCGGAAAGGCGTCAAGAGTGAGTGAGATGGTGCCAGGCCGAGGGAGACAGCCGGCGGCTGGGCTGGGAGGGGGCGGAGCACGGGGCCCAGGGGTCCTGGCTCCCTAGGGGTGAGGAGAGGCGGCGTGGGGAGGGGTGGGGAGGGGCGGCGTGGGGAGGGGTGAGGAGGGGCGGCGTGGGGAGGGGCGGCGTGTGCCCTGACCGCACTGCCCCTGCCCCGCAGTCGACAAGACTGACTACATGGTGGGCAGCTACGGGCCCCGGGCCGAGGAGTACGAGTTCCTGACGCCCATGGAGGAGGCGCCCAAGGGCATGCTGGCCCGCGGCAGCTACAACATCAAATCCCGCTTCACCGACGACGACAAGACTGACCACCTGTCCTGGGAGTGGAACCTCACCATCAAGAAGGAGTGGAAGGACTGAGCCTGGCCCGGGAGACGGGCAGGGCGGGCGGACGGAGGGATGTGCGCGCCCCCACCCCACCCCCACCCCATACCAAAGTGCTGACAGGGCCCTGCCCAGGCTGCCACATGCCGTCCGCCTCCTGCCCCCTCAGCCCCGCCTCCTGGATAGTCTAGTGTCCCGCTGCTTCCACCTGTGCTGGGGGTGGGGCCGCAGCTCAGGCCCCTCCCCTGGGTCCCTCCCGGGTCCCCACCTGTCCTCGCCCCGGAGGCCCTGGCGTTCCCAAGGCAGTGGGAGCTCAGTCCCTGGGCCGTGTCAGTTGTCTGTTCCCCCTCAGGGGTGGGGTGGGGTGGGGTGCACGATGCAGGGCCTTGGGCCGGCCGTCCTTCCAGCTTCGCTCCTCCCTGGTCAGTTCACCCATTGCTGTCTGTAACCGTCTAACCATGATGCCTTAACATGTGGAACGTGTGCTGTGGGGCCGTCACTAACCTCTAACCCTGTGTCTGCATGAGCATGTGGTCTCCCAGTCCTGCCGCCCCATCTCGGTCCCCGTGGCTGGAAGGTGTGGACACACTGCTGCTCCCCCAGCCAGGGCCTGGCCAGCGCCCTCCAACCCTTTCCCCTCCCTTCCCCCTCCCGCCAGGGCTGAGGGGCAGCTCCCGGGCCTGGGAAAAGCCAAATTGCCAAAACTGAAGTCGCCTCCGGCACCATCTGAGAGGCCAGTGTCCTTACGCCTCTCCCTCTGTCCCAGTGGCAGCACCACCCAGCCCAGGGCCCGCAGAGCCCTCGGACAAAGCCAGGGCCCAGCCTCACTGCCCCGGACCCCGGCCTGGAGGGCGTGGCTGGCCTGTCAGTATTTATTGCCTCCATATGTGCCGTCCTCTGGGCCCGCTGGCCTGCCACTCTGCCCCCAGGCTCCATGCCGCCACCCCCGGCCCCCCCGGACTCAGCCAGGACAACTGTGGGACCAAGCGTGCACAGTCGGAGCTATCCCCTGTGCCCCTCCGAGGTCAGGCCCGGCTGGAACGCACAGGAGCCTGTCCCTGCTTCTCTGACCGGGAAATAAACTCCCCTGAGGAACCTGTGTCTGCTGCCTGAATCTCGGGAAGGAGGGCGGGGCCCATTCCTCTGCCGTCTGAGAGCCAGGTGTGGCTGCCACGGCCCTGCCCGGACTGAAGGGCTGAAAGCCCTGCCTCGCCCTTGGCAGAGGTGCCTGTGGGCGGGTCAGAGCTGGAAACTCCCGAAGGACCCGGGATGGGGGGGGTGGGCAGGCAGGCTGTGGTTCAGTGACCTGCCCTTGAGCCCGACACCCACTCCTGGCCTCGGAGGAAATGCCCCAACCCCAGAGAGGAAGGAACTGCCCATGGGGCAGTACATTGGAACCAAGGGTGACTGGGCCCAGAGGGTGTGGGGGGCCTGAGGCTGGGGTGCCACGGTAGAGAGGAGGGCAGTGCCTGGGGCAGGGCCAGGGCTCCAAAGTGGATTGGGAGGGTGGAGCTGTCCCGGGGAGCCTTCAAGGGCCACTGGTAACACGCACACCTGGCCCTGCATGGGATAGGGTGGTGGGTAACCCAAGCCTCAGACGGGGTCAGTTCCACGCGCCCCTTCTGCCCTCTGAGCCCCTTAAAATGGTTGTGGCCCGGCCGGCTGGGCTCCGAGGCTGAGCACGGACCTGTCAACCAGGAGGTTGCAGTACATGCTCAGGTTGCAGGCTCGATCCCCAGTAGGGGGCGTGCAGGAGGCAGTGCAGCAGTGATTCTCATTGATGTTTCCATCTTCCCCTGTGAAGTCAATAAAAACTTTTTTTTTCTAAGTGGCTGTGTCCCAGGCTGGGGCAGGAGCTTCTGCTTGCTGGCCATGCCCTCCCCGCCTGCCACTCTTCCCAGAGCTTATCAGCAGGAGCCCTGCCAGCTGGGTGGCCAGGAAATGCCCTCCTGCCCCACAGGTCAGTGACCACAGGTCCTGGCCAGGACGGCTCCCGAGGGCTGGCCGCCTCCTCCCCTCCCTACAGGACCCTGTGGTTCCCGGGGGCCTGTGCCCTGTGCTGGGGGACAAAGGGTGCTCCCCGCTTTGCCGGCTCAGACAGCACCAGAGCAGCCCAGGAAGCAGCCCGGCCCCGGGCTCTGTGTTCCATGGGCAAAGGCCCTCCGTGTCCCCTCGCAGCACCGGCCGCCCCAGCCCAGGGGACAGGCTTCGGTGGGGGAAGCAGGGGGCTGGCAGAGCCCGGCCTTTCCCTCTCACGTCAGACGCAGGCAGCTGGGAGCCAGGAGGCCGCCCCTGGAGAGGCTGGTGGGGGCAGTGAGGCAGCGGCTCTGTGCACTGGCGCAGGCTGGTGGGGGCAGTGAGGCAGCGGCTCTGTGCACTGGCGCAGGCCCGCGCGGCGTCCTCAGCCCAGAGGCCTGTTTTCGAGCTCGCATTTTCCCAGCTGCACCCGTGACCTCAGACCCCGAGTGCCAAGTTGTACAGGCGCACCGCCAGCAGCCAGGACTTTGTCCTGGCTCCTCCCCGGCGAAAGGTCACTCAAGGTGGCACCGACAGAACCTGCATGACGTGTCTCTCGGTCCCAAGTCTAATCTGATCTTTCGGGGTGCACCCTGAACCCGTCCACCCGGTGCTCCTGGGCCTGGCTGCCTCCCCTGCCAGCCTGTGGTCCCCCTCCCCCAGCCATACTCCAAGCTCCTGCCTCCTCACCCACCCCAGTGGACCCTCCTTCCCGGGAGGGGGTGCCTTCCTGCCCCACAGGTCAGTGACCACAGTCACCAGAGCCGGACCCTGGGTGAGACCAATCCCCAGTCACTGTGACAAGGATCTCCAGTCCCCAGCACTGGCCACCCTGCCGTCGCGCCATGTCAGTCCACCAGGCCACGCTGACCACAGCACCGGCTTTCCGGCTCCGCTCCCACCTGTGCCCTCACCGTGGCACAGCCCTGCGTCCCACTGCTGCTCACCCTGGTGTCCACCAGCATGCTGTTCACCTCTCAGCCCTTGCACCCCAACCCGGCTGCGGTGGGAAGGGATGTGTAATCTGAGGACTGTTTAGAAGAGGAGCATTTATCACATTGATCTGCTCAAGAGTTCAATCCATATTTATTTATTATTTTTTAATATATTTTATTGATTTTTTTACAGAGAGGAAGGGACAGGGATAGAGAGCTAGTAGAAACATCGATAAGAGAGAACATCGACCAGCTGCCTCCTGCACAGGGTGAAATTGTTTCTATTTCTCCCTCTCTGAAATAAAATAAAAATAGCCCAAGCCAGTTTGGCTCAGTGGATAGAGCGTCGGTCTGTGGACTGAAAGGTCCCGGGTTCAGTTCCGGTCAAGGGCATATACCTTGGTTGCGGGCACATCCCCGGTAGAAGGTGTGCAAGAGGCAGCATACCTCCTACTGGGGATGATTCTCTCTCATCGATGTTTCTGAATCTCTATCCCTTTTTCTTCCTCTCTGGAAAAATCAATAAAATATTTTATTTTTTATTTTTAATATATTTTATTGATTTTGTACAGAGAGGGAGAAATAGAGAGCTAGAAACATCGATGAGAGAGAGTCATCGATCAGCTGCCTCTTGCACACCCCTTACTGGGGATGTGCCGCAACCAAGGTACATGCCCTTGACTGGAATCGAACTTGGGTCCCTTTGGTCCCCAAGCCGACGCTCTATCCATTGAGCCACACCGGTCTCGGCTCAATAAAATATTTTAAAATATAATAAAAATGCATTAAGCAAACAAGAAACCGCCCCATGACCCAGAGCCCGTCAGGCTGCTGTCCCAGGCCTGGGACGGGCTGCGGCCACCTGGGCTGCAGAACAGAGGCCGTCACACCTGCCTCACGGTGAGCTCCTCAGCTGCAGCCAGAGGCTGACTCAGCTGGAGTGGGTTCGACGTAGCCAGCGGCCTGACCCTCACCTGGCTGCTCCCCCGGGTCCCAATGTCTCCTCTGGAATCACTTCACTGGGTGCTCTGGGGCTACCTCCCACCGTCACCAACGAACACACATGGGTTACCAGTGCCTTCACTCCGTCCCCCTCAGCTGAAGAGACTTGAGCCCCCGGACTGAAGCGTCTGTGCTCTGAGGTGCCACCATTTAGATGCTTCAGGCCTGGGGCTTCAGTCTAGATGGGATGCAAATGTCCCTCCTCTCAGGTCCCCAAATGCGGTCAGTAAAACGGGGTCACAGCAATGACAGGAAACCTGGGAGTGAGGGCGCAGCCACGGGGCAGTCCCACGGGGCCCCAGAGCAGAGGGCAGTGAACTGGGGTGGAGGCACATGGGAGGCACATGCTCCATGCAGGAAGTTCCCGCTACGGTACAGTCACCCCGAGAAGCAGGCAGTACCCCAGCGGGTACAGCCACCTCGGCCTGACCCTTGCTCCAGTGGAAGTGGGGGAGGTGCGGACCTGGTCGGGACCTCGGGGAGCAGCCATTTTTCGAGATGAGAAAACAGGCCTGGGGAGCAGCCTGCCTTGGGGAGCAACAGATTAACAAACGCAAGCTCCAGAGAAGCACGAGGCTCCTTCGGCTTCCCCATTTCTGAAATCAGGATGTTGGTCGACGTGTACATTGGATGTGGGAGTGTTTCCCCTTTTCCTGCCAAGTTATTAAATGGTGATGAGTCTTAAAATCCAGCGGTGGCGGCGGCTCACAAACAAGGAAGCGACTACAAATAAAGGGGAGCGCTTCCGGGAGGAGGGGGTGAGGGGGAGTGGGGCGGCGGGTCCTGGTACACCCAGCGAGGAGCCACGTTAAACACCAATGAATGTCAACGTACGTAAATGCGTGTTTGGCCCCAAACACCCCAACCCGTCAGACCGAGGATGAAGGAACACCCTCTCCCCCATGTCCCGGGTCTGTTGTTCCACTCCGGCCGCCGCGGGCGGGCAGCCTCGGGGGCAGCGGCGAAGGGAGCTGCGTGGGGCCGGGTTTTGCGGCGGCTTCGCGGCGTCCGGGGTGCATGTGACGGCGGGGCAGCTCCGGGGGACCTGGCGCCGGGGGAGGGGGCTCCTCCAGGCCCGCGGCCGGCTCCAGCCCCGGCGCACCCTCTGCGGGGGCCCTGGCCCGGTTCCTCGTTTCTGCACTTTCAGGTGCAGCCGCCCGGCCTCCCCTTCCTCCGCCCACTCCGCGCTGGTGCCTGAGGCGCTCGGCTCCCGGGACCGGATCCCGCAGCAGCCGAACCCGAGCCCCTCGCCGCCGAGCCCAGACGCCCCTCGTAGGCGCCGCACGGGATGCACGCGCGCCGGAAGTTGCGTCACCCAGCTTCCGGCCCGACGAGCCGGGGGGCGGGATCAGTGACGGACACGCGATCCAGTAAGAAAGCAACACGAGGGGTTTCGGAGGCCCCGGCGCAGCTCCGCCCCTCGGCGGGCGGGGGACTCCACCCACTGCCACGTTCGACGGCGGAACGCGAGGGGTGCGCGCACCTCCCGGCCAATCAGGAGCCGCAGATCCCGGGGCTCCGCAGGTGTCAGCCATTCCAGAACCCGAGAAAGAGGTGGGGAAAGCCACCAGTCATGAGTCGAGGCGGAGAAAGTTCTTCTCCAGGAGCCAATCAGGGGCCGGGGCAGAGTGCGAGCGCGAGCTCCTCGGCCAATCCCGGGCGGCAGCGATGGAGCCCTCTGGGGCTCTTCCGAATCTGGGGTCGGAGAGGGTGTCGGCGTCCAATCCGAGCGCGGCAGGGGCGGGCCCCGGAGCCGACCGGCCAATAGAGGGTGGGCGCGGGCGGGCACGCGCGCGCGGCGGCCAGGTTTATAAGGACGAGGCAGGCGGCGCGCGCTCTCGTGGCCTCGCTGTCCGGCGGCGCCAACCGAAGCGCTGTCCCTGCTGCCGACATGCTGCGCCGCGTTCTGCTCCGCCTGGCCCTGGCCCTGGCCGTGCTGGCCCGCGCGGGCGCTGCGCCCGAGGAGGAGGACCACGTCCTAGTGCTCAACAAGGGCAACTTCGAGGAGGCGCTGGCGGCCCACAAGTACCTGCTGGTGGAGTTCTGTGAGTGCCTCCCGGCCTGCCGCGGGGCGGGGAGGGGACGGAGCTGGTGGCTCCCAGGGCGGCTGGGGGGGCGGATAGAGGGCCGGGCACCCGTCCC